TAAATATAAATATAATATAATGTACCGTAATACCAGACCATGTTACGCCATGTAAGAACAAATCTGGATTAAGAGTCCGCTGATGAAATAATCGAATATCTTCCTCCTATATAAAGCTACATATATGATGTAATATGTATACCATATATTTTCATTCAAATAATTTAAAATGTATGAATTTTACAGGATTTTTGTCAATCGGAGTTTACACTTGGAAAAGATCAAGTTCTTTGGTTTTGACATGGATTATACCTTGGCAGGTAGGTACTAGTGTGTTGTCTTACCTAATTCAAAACTTGTTTCTTATGAGTAGAAGTCAATTGGGATTGAATTTGGGCACAATTGCTTTTCTTGTTCCAGCTTTATATCCCTTTAATTTTAGTTTTTCCACTCTTGAAGCCACATTTTTGATGAATATTTTTTAAACCTTGGGATAATGACGACTAATTATTGAATATGAGTGCAATCGCTATTTCTGTTCCAGGGATATGGCCCTTTAATTAGCATATTTTTGCACGTTCACTCTCTATAGTCCTGATAGTTTTTGCTCTGTTAATGCCAGACAAAACTATAAGGGTACCCTCACTTGAGTGTCAAGAGATGGAGGTACATGTTTCATAATGTCTTTCTATAGTATAAGATAAAGATAAATTTTGACTAAAACTTTAATATTATAAGAAACTTTGTACATTGATTCTTGTACTGAAAACTAATTTGCCTGGGTTTTCAGCTGTAAACTTATCTAATACTTATATGTTGTTACGTTAATGATTATTTTCAAAGGAAAGTGTGTCCGAATTAGGATTTAATCTCAATTCAATCTTAATTAGAACACTTGGAACAGTTCATACATGTACTGTGGACATTTTGAAGAAAATTTGATCTTGTCCTAATGGGTTAATGTAATTGTAGATATATTTAAATTTAAGTTGCACACATAATTACTATTAGCAATTTATTACAACTGTTTTCAATACTATACTAATTTTCATATCCCTAAAATCTAAACTGGTAGAATGATTTTAAATTTTCTGCTAAAACTATTGTATCAACCAATTGACAACCTTCATAATAATATATTTGTTAATAAGATTTTTTAATTTTTCTTTTCAGTTTATAAATCTAAAGAATACGAAGCTCTTGGGTTTAATTTGTTGAAAAATCGTCTTTTGGAAATTGGATATCCTGCTGTTATAAATGAATTTGAGTATGATCCTACATTCCCTGTCAGGTAAGATGATACATCTAAGCCTGTAGAATACGTACTATCAATATATAATATTTCTAAGAAACCTTGGGATTATTTACTTTTGGTATTATTTAGTTATGTTCAAGTTGCTCTACACATGTGACACTTACTTAAGGTAACGCAGAGTTCTCTGACAGAAATGTACAGTGATCACAAAAAAAATCTGTATGCTAACATGATTAAGCAAGATGGCATACTGTTTTTGTGTAGTGTTAATGATTATAATGGTACTATATATGTACCGGTACCTCATGTCTTTTCTCAGTACTACTGGTAATTGTAATGATTTGTGATTTGATACTGTCTCCTACATAAGGTAAATAGGAGTATGAGGTGATTCTTTTCACAAACATTCTTACCTTTTAAAGAGAACTCTGTACTTCAATTGAGAATGTTAATTCCTCTATTTTTATCCAACTTAGACATATTGATTTGAATTTTCCCCTAAAAATCATTCTTAATAATTAACTTGTCAGTACTCTATAGGATTATCTGATTCTTTTAAAATCTGATTTTGATCACAATGTTATTACAAGATTTCTATTTTGAATTTTCCATTTTTATTTATGAACAATCTATTGAACTGTAATATTATGATGCTAAATGAACTGCGATATTATGGTGCAATTTATGCAGATTGAACGCTAGTAAATTAGATTAGATGAGCTATTACTGCAAAGTGCAAAGGTCTATTGCTTTGAGCTCTTTCAGTTATGGATTGCCAGACAGGTATAACATAATCATGGATGCATTTATCATTTACAATTCTTATGATGGTTATTATCCGCTTCGGTAAAACACAGTCACTGTTTTTTGAACAACAAAATGCTTTAATGGATACAGTTTGGTCATCTATTTTATAATATTCCATGATAATATAAGAAATTGTTGAGAGTGTAACTTTGCCATGGCAGCGGCACAAGTATAAACGAACATGAAATATTCAAAACATTTTTATTTTCATTTGAATGGCAATTTTTTTTATAGCCTTCAAAACATTTTGTGATCATATATATTGTCATCTGTCAGTTCATCTATTCATTGCATAGTTTACGCTCTGGATTAGGTTTTTACTTGGTTTGCCTAAAATGATGGCTTTCAAATTTCAATTTGATGTGATAAATTTCCAAATTTATAAGCTTACAAAGTGTTTATGTCAATGAAACAAAGATTTTTAACAGTCATTACGGTTGTTAATAACAGTGTTACATAAACTTTCAGTGGATGACAAAGCTGATGGTGGGTGTTTTTGTTGAGTTACTTCTTGACAGCCTACACAATTTTTTTTTTAATCTGATTTTTTAAATTAAAAACAGTTAACACTTTGTCAGTGGTCAATATTTAAACTTTTGCTCGTAAAGAAAATGTGACTTTAATAAATTTCTTGAATCCTTACTTGATTATTATATCATAATATTTACTATATTCCAAGAATAGTCTTCTTGTGCTTCTTTCAAAATTCTGATTTTCATTAGCACACTTTGTGCAGAAACCTCATTTTATTTCCTACAGAATTTGAGTTAATACTGCTACTTTATATTTCAGTGCAGATACAAACTTATTTTAGAAGTCATATTTTTTTTTAAAATACAGTTTCAAAGTGTTTACTGTTAAAGCTTTAATAGTCATTTTTTTGTATTATGTAGGTCAAATCGTAAGGGTCATATTGTCACAGCCAATATCAAAATTATTGATCAAAATATCGTATGTGCTTCTATGCATACAGTACCAAAATGAAATGAATATCTAGGAACTGAAAAAGAAATATTAAGAAATGAAATAGAAGTTATAGCTACATTATGTTCATTTTGAATATATGTAAACTGGGTACCATACTTCCTCATATAGTCACTATATAGTCACTAAAAACAAAAGAAAAATAGACTGGAAATATTGTTTTCATTCTAAAAAGGCAGTATGACCCCAAAGATTTTTAATGTAAATTATTTTATATCCATTGAATGTATACATGTAGGGAAAAAGTCATTATGTGTATTGCAACTTGATAAAAACAAAACACAAAAGAAACTTTCTGAAATTTCACACAAATTAATAAACCCTTCTTTTCTTAAAAATTAGTAGATTCCCCTATTTTAATTGATGTTTATGAGCTTAAGAAATCATTAATACAGTAACACTGAATATATTTATGTAATAATAATAGTCAGAATCTAATCTTAGATCCATGTCGGATACCTATGCAGAGGTTACATCACCAACTAATTCTATATTACATTGTGACAGATCAATGGGTTCACTAATCAATTATTTAATAAATAACATTTGGTTCTATCAAATATAATGAACCCAATTAATAACAGGCTTTATTAGAGGTCAGGAAAAAAAATGAAGGATACACACCGTATTGAAAGGTTGCCAAATTCTTTAGTTTGGATTAATGCCATCGTTTCATATACATGTAGAATTAGGCTAATAGAGTTAGCATGCCTGTGTATGTTAATACCCATTTGTTTTTCTCTACATGCCCTGTAATGATAATTCGATATATAGTTAGTAAGAAAAGTTCCTAATATAAATAATAAATAAACATCAAGAATTTAGAGAGCATTGAAAGGACCATGGCATTGTCTTACTTCACAAACTTCTCTTTATTTTTAAATGAAAAAGCTGAACTTTGTATGCCTGAAAAATGATTTCTATTTTTTAACCATTATTTAATTGTGGTGATTGAATATCTTTATTACAAATGCGCTAATGGGTTACCCTAAACTCGTATGTTAGGACTTTTGGGTATTTTAGATATTTATGATTGAATAGAGACAAAGTAATTCTACAGATTGACAACAAGTTTGTAAAAATGAGCCTGGTCATTGCTTTATGCTATTAGCTTTGTTTATTTTAAAGTCAAGTCTCAAATTTGAAAAGATGTGTCCAATATTCTGAGTATACAAGTCTAAAATAAAGTTGTTTTTAGTATGTATTGATACATTTCCATTTAAAGATAAAAAATATTATTCCAGACAGCACCCTAAATTATAGTACTTTTAGATAAAAAGTTACTTGACGGTACAAAATATCAAAACATTGAATGCTGATTAAACGAGTGTAAAGTCTTTGTCCAAAGTGACTGATTAACATACAGGTCTAAAAAACAAAACTTGGGGATTATATAAGCTGGAAGACTGGGTAAAAATGTTTGCAATAAAAAACAAATTCATCTGTATAGTATATAACATCACGTATAACTACATGTATACTATTCAAAAAAAGTAGGGGATATTTGATTTTTAAGTGTTATTAAAGTCACCTAATGAAACTGACGAAGAAACAAATGACAAAATGAAATGAAGTTCACATTCATCGATTTATTCCAAATGATCGTTAGACTAAGTAAGGCACAGACTGACCATTATAAGGGTAAAATGATACCCGGGGTCAAACAGCAAAGTTACCACAGCATCACAACCAAGTCAGTAACGGGTAAATCCTCCTCTGTTTGCCAAACAAGCATTGATCCGACGTGGCATACTCCTAATGACACGTCTAAGGTCATTTTGGTCCAGATTGTCCCATTCCTGTTGCAACGCAGCAGCAAGTTCTTGGACATTGGCAGGACGTTGTTGACGTTGACATAACCTCTGTCCAAGCATGTCCCAGACATGCTCGATGGGGGAGAGGTCGGGACTCAGTGCTGGCCAAGGTAATGTGGTGATGTTCTGTTGTTGGAGGTAACCTGTAACGATCCTGGCCCTGTGACATCTTGCGTTGTCATCCTGGAAGATGAAACGGCGGCCATGACGTCGTGCGAACGGCACAACATGGACTGCCAAGATGTTGTCCCGGTAGTACTGGCCTGTAACACGCCCTGCAACAACATGTAAAGCCGTTCTTCCAGCAACAGTGATGCCTCCCCACACCATAACAGAACCACCCCCAAATCGATCATGTCTGATGACGTTAACGTCTTGGAAGCGCTCGTTTCGACGACGCCACACCCTCCTACGTCTGTCCAGTGAACCTTGACTCATCTGAAAACATCACATTGCTCCAGCGTCGATTATCCCAGTGTTGACGATCCCTACACCAACGACGTCTTGCCTGAATGTGATGATCTCTCAAACAAGGGATCACGCGAGGACGTCGGGCGCGAAGGTGACCCCTATGCAGTCGATTCCGAATCGTCTGGCCACTCACTCTCACACCAGTGTCTGTTTGAAGACGAGCGCTGATCTGATTTGCTGTGATGACACGATTTCTCAAGGCCAAGGTACGGATAAAACGATCCTGGGCTTGAGTTGTCGCCCTTGGTCGACCTGAGCGTGGTCTGTCCTGTACAGATTGTGTATCACGGTATCTGGACCATTGCCTGCTTATGACAGACTGAGAAACATTCATCGTCCGCGCCACAACCGCCTGTGTTGTGCCGATCTGTAGCATGCCAAGGGCACGTAACCTTTCATTTTGGGTAAGCCGACGCATATCAAAATTTGTTTTCTGGTCACTAAAACAATTAAACTGATGTTTCCACCCTGGAATTCAATGCCACAATGACTGTAACATTCAAAGTCAGAGTCGTGCAAATCTTGGGTTGGACCCCCATGATGATCCCAAGCATCACCTGCGTTTGGGCGTCACATGTAACTGGAAATGTTTCTTCTGTTAGGTTCTATAGTGACTTTTTTCGTAGTCATTTACATATTTTAGTATTATGCCCCCAAAATCAAATATCCCCTACTTTTTTTGAATAGTATATAACTCAATGTTCAGTATGGTATAGACTTAATTATGACATTGTGTGTCATTGGGACTTTAAATAAGCTTATCTTTAAAGTTAAGGTTGTAAGTTAAGAATTGACATAAACTTGTTACTGTAAGTGTAAGTTATAAATTATGAAATGATGATTGTCTTAAGCTCTAAGCACCAATATATCACCAACCCAACTTTATTATGGTGTAATAAAGCTCATATAAATATTATCCGCCCTTCACTTATTTAACCCATCAGGCCATTAGGCCACATTATTTTACCATTGCTTTATGTGTTACTGTCAGGAGGAATATCATTATGTTATGAATGAACGGGATTGAGAGGTCACCGACCCATGACTCCTGTTAACCTATGACCTGGTCGCCAAGTCAGCAACCTGATGCTAGCTCCATACTGGGCTTCCATAAACCATGGTGACTAAGCGTGTTCAGTTTTTAATATTTTTCGGAAAAGTAATGTATTTGAAGAAGAAAGACTTAAATACTATGGTAATGAAAATATAAAGAATCTTTTTTACTCAACATAAAATGGAAAACCTATGACATTGATATTTATTTAATTAAAATATTACCAGTATGAGTATATTGATTTTAGCCTGCATGTAGGTTATATTTAATAGATTCTGAGTAAATAAAATTTCTCATGGATTACATGGTGCCATCATTATATAAATCCAGGCTGTTTAGTAACAGTTTATTGATTCAATGAAGTAAACAATGTAACATGTACACAAGCATGTTCTGATCATGTTACCATACATTGGCAATATACATACATCATTCATGCAGGGTATTATTTATGTCTGCTTTGAGTAATTTGTTAAGTCTTTCTTCTTCAAAATTTTGAAAAATAAATAAAAAACCCAGCTTAATGATACCAAGTAAAAGAAATATTTTTATACACGTAACTGTGTTAAATATCAATATTTTTTAGAAAATAATTTTATGTAACTTTTTTTTTAAAATAATGAATTCATACATAAAGTCCAAATAAATTTATTTTTATTCCAATTTTATAGTAGTAGTAGATTTGAATCTCAATTTATTTCAAATTCATATTCAGTTCATTTTAATTAGAAATTTGGCAGTCCATGTTAAAAAAAATTTTAAAAGTCAAGACCCGAAAGTAAGCTTATTGTTTAAGTTAAAGATCTACATTTTTCTAATGTTTTTCTTTCAGGGGTTTATGGTTTGATAAACTACATGGAAATCTGCTGAAAGTCGATGCCTATGGAAATATATTGGTCTGTGCACATGGCTTCAAATTTCTTAAACCGTAAGTAAATCCTTGTGCTATTTATGAATTATTGATACGAAAGGTTATTTGAATATCCTTTAAAATTAGATTATGAGTAATTAGAGACTCAAATTTCGTGATGTTTTACTTGAGAATTTTTTTTATTATTTTTTTTTCCAGACAAGAGATTGCACAGATGTATCCAAATAAATTTGTACAATTAGATGAATCCAGATTGTTTGTTTTAAATACACTCTTTAATCTTCCAGGTAACTCGATTTTTTTTTTCTTCTTTCTTTTTTTTAATTTCAAATTTTTTGTGTGAAAAATTTGTCAAGTTCAATAATTATCATGAAATAGTCTTTATTTGTTATAAGCTAATTTATGAAATATGATAGAACAGTTCAAACATGATTCACATGATTTATATATCTGATAATACTTCTATTTGGGGTATATTTTTTTTTATGAGCTCATGGACAATCAAAGTAGTTATAAAGGAGAAATAAGAACTAAAAATAATCATTGCCTTAAGTTATTTTTTTGACTCAGAATGTTATATAAATAGAATAAACTATTTATTCCTTTCATTACAGAGACCTACATGTTAGCCTGTATCATAGATTTCTTTAATTCTAGCAAACTTTATACTAGGTAAGTATAGATCTTTGTATCCCAAAATAAAACACATGATATATTAACCTTAATACATGTATAATCTTGTCTTTTATTGACTATACTGTATATCATTGTAGTGTCAAGTACAAAAGGCTTACGTATGACATACATTTATTCATTGTATATTGATTTCTTTAAGCTAAAAATGGAACAAGTATTATTATGAATTTTTCATATTAAATTTAATATAATATCTTTAATTAGGATCACATATTTTCAGAAAACAAACTGCTCATATCAATTCCTTTTAAAATAAAAAAAAAGTTTTTTTTTTTTTTTTAGAATAAATTGCACAAATTTAATTTAAAATTTAATTTCAAGTGTTTCCTAAGGTTCCTTGATATTGATGTACTAACTGATATATAAGTAAATTTGAAGACATTTAAAAAAATAATTTTACACTCTACCCTACTTAAATAGAAGAAAAGCACCCATTCTGACCATTTTTCCCATTCGTGGTTTGATGTGTCAAAATTACAGGCTATGCATGAATTAAAGTTTGATATTATTACTATCTGACATTGTTTGGATGAAATTTTTTTCAGGTATTGACTTTACTTTCAAATGTATTTTGCACTTGATTAACTAAATGACATTTTGTTTTCTTGTAGAGATAAACACGGTATTAGAAGTGGTAATCTCTATTTTTCGTATAAATCTATTTTTCAAGATGTCCGTGGAGCTGTTGATCATATTCATTTCAATGTAAGTAAACTATGGTATCGGCTAATACCGTGGACACTTTTCAAGCAAAATTATGTCACAATATGGTGAAAATTAAGAGCATTCAATTCCTTGAGAAATATGAATTTAAAGACAACCATATGGTGCTCCAGATAAAAGATGTATTGTTCACACGTATGTCATTAATTTGTGGAAGAACTGTTTACAACAGCCTGTTTTCTGTAAGCCATAATAATATTTTGGCGGTATTTTGTTTACAGGGTGCCTTAAAAGATGAAACCACAAAAAATTTAGAAAAATATGTACAACGAGATGAACGATTACCTCTATTGTTAGAAAGGTTAGAAACAATTATATATTCTTTTTTAATGGTTATGTTTATGTACTAACTGACTATTTCTGGATATTTTAAATATTTTATTTTGGCCAAATTGTGTGATGCTGATTTTCTTTATTTTCAAATAGTGCCAATAGTGCTTACATTAGTACTAATTTAATAGAATGTTGATTACCTTTTCTACTTTAGAATACAACATCATGGTGCTAAGACACTTTTGATAACGAACAGTGATTATGATTATACTAATGTAAGTATTTATTTCTTTGCCATGTTACAAGAAGAGTAACATATTTGTCACCTCTCGGTTTTACAAGGATACCGTCTGTGATCAAACATTATAGTTTCATTTTAAAGTATTTTGCCTGTAGAATGGATTTCCGATATTTCAGTAGAACTTAATATTTAAAGGTGAATAACTATAGGTCAAAATATAAATCAAATATAATAATATTACTTAGTTAGTAATAAAATGTTGCATTAAAATCCTATAATGTAGACATTTAAAATGTGTTTTCTAAATTTCTTCATAAATTTCAAATTCATTTTTTGCAGCATATAATGAAATATTTAATGGACTTTCCTAACTCAGTAAGTATTACTACTAAGCTCTAATTATATTACTTTATTTTGTTGTAATGAATATGTTATTTTAATGTTAACCACATTTGAGAAAGTATCATTAATGTACCTTAGTAACACTGGAACAGACATGTGTTGCCTGCAATAATGTCATTATTTCAAATATTTTGTTCACTACAGAATGGAGATGTTCGAGAATGGTCAACATATTTTGATTATATTGTTGTTGATGCCAAGAAACCGTTATTTTTCAAAGATGGTACAATTCTACGACAAGTAGATAGGGTAAGATATTTATATTTATTGGTTGTAGTGCTTTATATGATTAGTTTATTGCGTTAGTAATCAGATCTTGCGTAAATGAGTTCCACTGACTATTTAATGTACAAGGGCACATGACTGGTGGCAATCATTTTAACTGGAGATGAGTTTGCAAGAGTAGATAAATTTAAAAGAGATTTTCTGATGTTTAATTGATAAATGAAGGTAATATTTAACCTTGTTAGTTATCGTTTGCACACTTTATTATGCTCATAAGTTTAATTTCCTGGTTCTGTTATGTAACAATTTCCAGAAATAAGTTTGTCTAGTGTTTTGAAGGAATAATATGTTCTGGGCATAAGACGCTTTTATACATTATTCAGTTATGTTAATTTATTTTTTGTAGACAACTGGCTCATTACGAATTGGACATCACTGTGGTCCTTTAGAACCAGGTCATGTATATTCAGGAGGTAATTATCAAATTTTGCAATAATATAAAATACATGCTGTATTATCATGTACTGAGCTGAATTCAGCCTTCTAGAAAGTTTGTCATACCTTAGCATAAAATTAGTTCCTATAAATATAAATAATTGGTGATTCTTATTTCACTGGATCAGCAAAAGTAAATTATGTTGAATTAACAAATCAAATTATATTTGTTATGTATAATTTGTATCTAGAGAGTGGACAAAATTAATCTAATCTTTGATATAATCTTAAAATGTGATATTATTTTTTTTTTTAATGAATAATGTAACAAATTTAATCTATTAGTATTCTTCTGATATTTCTATTTTTGTGATGGTAGAATGTTTTGACATTTTGACATGGTGGTTGATATATCTCTTGATGGATTATGGTCTAAAATAAAAAAAAAACTTCAACACAGATAGACAAGAAAACCTACTTGAGTACTAACAAACTGTTGTAATTAATTTAAGAGCTAACGTAATCATAGTTTGATTATTATACAATATTAAATACAGCTAAAATAATACGATTGTAGACCTTACTATGTATATCAAAATTATTTTGTTTAGGTTCTTGTGATGTATTATCTGAAGTTATTGGTGCTAAAGGTAAAGATGTCTTATATGTTGGTGATCATATTTTTGGTGATATTCTGAAATCCAAGAAAATGCGAGGTTGGAGAACGTTTTTAGTAATACCTGAATTATCTAGAGAACTTCATGTGTGGACAGACAAACATCAGTTATATGACTGTCTTGAAGATGAAGAATCTAAATTATCAGATGTTTACAAGTAAGTTGATATAAATATTTATACAACTCTGCAGCTACAGAAATATTAAGACTTCTAATACCTTGGAAAGTAAATGCAATATTTTATTGGATAAATAAATGATGACATCTTTTAGCGGAGTGAGAATTTGATACTTGTTATCGTTCACATTAAAAAAGTGCATGGAACATGGTCTGAAGGAAATTTATATTTAGTACTTTTTTTTTAACATTTAGTTAGATTTTTTTACACCCACATGCATGGAAATGTGGTCGTATATTGCCATCAACTCTGTTGGACCGTCGTCCACAATTACTTGTGAACACTCTACAGACTACCTTTTTATACGCACACATTTTCATGTGGACGTATATTGTCGTCGCCCCTGTCCGTCCGTCCACAATTGTTTGTGAACAGTCTACAGGTCACAATTTTTATCCAATTTTAATGAAACTTGAAATATAGGTTTATCACCCTAAGATCTCGGTTCCTTTCGATATTGGCATGTATTGGACATTAACTTCATGGATTATGGCCCCTGATTGTACGAAAAATCACGTTTTTAGCTTGTGAACACTGTAGAGGTCACAATTTTTATCCGATTTAGTTTAAACTTGAAATGTATGATTATAACCCAAAGATCTCGGTTCCTTTTGATATTCGCGCATATCAGAACGTAACTTTCTGAATTATGGCCCCTGATTGTACAAAAAATCGCGTTTTTAGCTTGTGGACCATATAGAGGTCATAATTTTTATCCGATTTAAAAAAACGTATTATATCACCGTTAGACCCTAAGGACGGTTGAGTTCAAATTTCGTGAAAATCGGCCCAAATTGACGGACAAAATGGCCGCCGTTCATTCTCAAATAGCTTAAAAATATGGTATATCAAGGTTGTGGACCCTATAGATGTCACAATTTTTATTCGATTTTGTTGAAACTTGAAATGTAAGTTTATAACCCAAAGATATAGTTTCCTTTCTATATACGCGCATATCGGACCGTAACTACCTGAATTATGGCCCCTGATTGTACAAAAAATTGCGTTTTTAGCTTGTGGACCCTATAGAGGTCATAATTTTTATCTGATTTAAAAAAACGTATTATTATATCACCGTTACACCCTAAGGATGGCTGAGTTCGCATTTCGTAAAAATCGGCCCCTCGTTCTCAAACAGCATAAAAATATGGTATATCAAGGTTGTGGACCCTATAGAGATCACAATTTTTATCCGATTTTGTTGAAACTTGTAATGTAAGTTTATAACCCAAAGATTGTGGTTCCTTTCGATATTCGCGCATATTGGACCGTAACTTCCTGAATTATGGCCCCTGATTGTACGAAAAATCGTGTTTTTAGCTTGTGGAACCTATAGAGGTCATAATTTTTATCCGATTTAAAAAAAACTATTATTATATCACCGTTACCCCCTAAGGACGGCTGAGTTCGAATCTCGTGAAAATCGGCCGAAAACTGACAGACAAAATGGCCGCCCTTCGTTCTCAAATAGCATAAAAATATGGTATATCAAGGTTGTGGACCCTATAGACGTCACAATTTTAATCCTATTTTGATAAAACTTGAAATGTAAGTTTATAACCCAAAGATCTCGGTTCCTTTCGATATTCGCGCTTATCGGAACGTAACTTCCTGAATTATGGCCCCTGATTGTAAGAAAAATCACGTTTTTAGCTTGAGGACCCTATAGAGGTCATAATTTTTATCCGATTTAAAAAACCGTATTATTATATCACTGTTACACCCTAAGGACGACTGAGTGCGAATTTCGTGAAAATCGGCCCAAAACTGACAGGCCAAATGACCGCCTTTCTTTCTCAAATAGCGTAAAAATATGGTATTTCAAGGTTGTGGACCCTAAAGAGGTCACAATTTTTTATCCGATTTTGTTGAAACTTGAAATATAAGTTTATAACCCAAAGATCTCGGTTCCTTTCGATGTTCGCGCATATCGGACCGTAACTTCCTGAATTATGGCCCCTGATTGTACAAAAAATCACTTTCTTTTTAGCTTGTTCTCTATCCATCTCTCGAAAATGTGGGCGTATCCTGCCTAGCAGCCGCTGGTTATCGTATCATTTTGAAATTTATATATGTTGTTTACATTAGTGAGTTGAAGAAGCTTATTTAATTTCAACAATTTCCATTAATTACATCTAGAGTTATGGCCATTGTTTCACTTTGTTGAAGCCTGTGAACTCTCTAATGACATATGTTGTCATCTGATTTGTATTAAATTTATATTTTCTATTTATATTAGTAAAACAAAGAAACCTATTGAATTTCAGTGATATCCATTAATTACTTCTACTTCTACTCTAGAGTTATGGTCCTTATTTCACTTTGTTGAAGCCCTAGTGAACACTCTTATGATCAAAGTTATTGTCTGAATTAGATTAGTAGAATCCTGTTGAATTAGAGGAATTTTTATTAATAAATTCTACAGTTATGTTTCACCCTGTTGAACTTTGTGAACACTAACGACGAAAGTTATCATTTGATCTGTATGAAATTGATATCAGTGTCTTGTAAATACTCTCATTACGTACAAATGAATAAATGTGACAACCCTTGTTGACTGTTGGAGGATGTAGCTGCTGTGAGCGTATGTTTCATTGACTGGCAACCTATCTTTGAATTTATGATTACCATCATCCAACTAAGTAACTTATAATTTACACTAAGTAACTTACAATTTACTTTCATTTTATTTAGGGATCTTGATAGCAGTACCACAGAGAAACCAGATATTAGTTCTATGAAACAGAGATTAAGGGTATGTATTGGATGATACATGATATTTCATTCATTCATTTCTTTTAATTATCAGTCTTAAATCTCATAGATATTCCTAGCAAGAAGGTTACTTTGGAAAATATATCTTCTGAAATAACCTGTAAGGCCTCATATATTTGTTGAATTGTTAGTATACAGACCAAATTCCTTTATTTGTAGGATGTTACCCACAGACTTGATATGAGCTATGGTATGTTAGGAAGTTTATTTAGAAGTGGTAAGTTTGTTATTTCCATAATACATATTGATAAGATAGATAAAAAAAATCATTAATTACACTAACATGCATATACCTATTGTCATTATCATGTCAGTTTTTGCTTCACATAAAAGATTGTATTAGTTTTGTGTATGATAAATGAAGATTTTTAAGTTGTTTGATAACTTATTTAGATTACAATGTCAGTTACTCAATCATTTTAAGTATGTCATCCATCTTATCAATTTTACATGTTTTCATAAACTTGTATGGTTATTTTTGTGTATTTACAGGTTCACGTCAGACATTTTTTGCTGCTCAAGTTATGAGATATGCTGATCTTTATGCAGCCACATTCCTAAATCTCTTACACTACCCGTTCTGTTACATGTTCAGAGCTCCGCCTATGCTGGTATATATCTTATTACAACTTAAAAACTACATCAGTGTTACTCTAAACTCACCAAACTTATGTTTCTAGAGACATTCATAAGAACAAAAAAATAATATACAATATTAATATCACTTCAATCTCAGTAATATAAATTAGTGTATGCATATTTAGATTGAGTAACATTATGGAGTAGACATAATGTTCAGTTTCAAACCTGATATACTTTCTACTTCAGTATGTTGAAATATTTTAAAATGTTCATTACAGATGCCCCACGAATCTACAGTTGATCATGAAAATACCTTTGAGGGTGAAACAGAGGTTTTTTCACGTACACGTGAGGATGAGGATGAGATTGATGGTAGTCATAAAAGAGTACGAAGGTCAAGTTCTTCAACAAACCATGTTCCACATTTACGAGCTAACACGCCAAAAAAGGTCACTCATGTACATGATGAAGATGGTGACTCTAGTGACTCGGAACATTCTAGCACTCCGAGTGAAAAATCAAACTAAAAAGTCATGATATAAAATCGTAGTTTGAAATAGACCCTTTACAAAAAAAATGACTATGTAGGAGAAACATAAATGTGATCAAATATACATTTAGGAGTAGATGTTGCATTAAAATTCTCAGCTTTAAATTTATATTATATTGTTATTACATTGGTGCTGGCTAAGAAATGTAGAACAAGATAAATTTTAAATTTGTGCATATTCTTACTTAATATCAAGTTACCAAATCCTATCTTATTTGGAAGAGGCAGAATGTGATAAGGACCAAAACTTTTTTCTTTTTATATTCTAATAAATTTACACAGAGATTTCATTTAACAGAAAAATTGTCATTTCTACTTCTAGTAATACTTTTACACTGAAAACCATGTAAGAGATATATAAAATTTATTTTAAAACTATGAGATAACCCATGTTAATACCCAATTATGTTTTGTTTACATGTTATTGCAAATAATTTTCAGTAATTAATGTTTTTCAGATTATATGTTATCATTCCTAAAATTTTATATGTCACTTTGAAAGAGTTGAACATTATTCTGATATCAAGAACATTTTCTTTGTTGTTATTTTATTTTTTTGGCTCATTTTGTTGCCCAATTATTGCATTTATATTTCTAAGTTAATGTTAAAATATACTGGTAATTGTTGTTTAAAACATTATTTTTCTGCAATTGAATTTTGTTAAGAAATTATTTTCTTTCCATCAAACAGATTCACTATTGCTAGTCATGTGTTCAATTTATAGTCCCTTCTTTATAAATTGTAATTTTTTTTAAAACAAAGGTTTAAAGTGTGATCACAAATATTGTGAAAATTTGAATGTATATAGTTGACTAACAATACCCAAAGTGTACTTAAACTTAAACATACCACTGAAGGTTATGCAATATGATGTTATAAAATTAGCTGATTTTATATTATTAAACTTTGTCATAAAAACCATTGATATAATTGTTATGATAAAATATTTTGTCTTGTATTTTGTACTGTAGATATTAATAATATATTGATTTTTTGATGCTCATAATATATAAACTATTATGTATGTACATGTATGCTTTTTATACCCAAATGTATTTAAGTCAAATTATAATGGTTATTTGATATAATATTGTTTTGTTTATTGTTTTTGAAAGAATTCTGAATTTAACTTGTTTAAAAGGCTCATTCAAGAATACCAAGCCTTAGATATTTGTTAATGATTGTTATTTATATTTGTCTTGATTTTAAATGTACCGATGTTATCTATAGAGTTCTGTTTATATATTAATATATATATATGTAGTTTCATCATTTTTACCATGTTTAATTGGTGCATTATTTATTTCTTTATTACTATAAGAAAAAAACATTTTGAGCTCATACACAATATGTGTTGATGAGGTTATGGTGGAATAGTTTAGGGATTAATTGATTATGGATCTTAACTCTTTGCAATGCTATATATTTACTGGCTTTCAGCTTTTTGGGAATTTGGTATGGTATACTATTGCAACTTAGATTGTAAAACTTCAAAATAAGTACTTGGTAAGAAACCACACTGTAAAAGACACAGGACACTTTATCAAATTTATTATTGTACCATATTTAGAATACCTACCATTATAAACAATACTCATATTTAAAATTTTCTTAGTATTTTATCAAATATCTTCATGGATATTCTTTTTGTTGATATTTTAATTGTCTTTTTCAAATTTTGTTTGGGTGGTACATTTGTTAATGGTTTAATCTAATGAAAGATGATGCTCATCATAATGAAATAGTCTATTAATGATGACTACATGTTACAGTCTAATAAGATTAGGCCATACTTTCTTTTCTCAAATTTTAATTAGATTTTTATTAATGTTATAGGATATTTATATATGCTTATGTTTAGAATGTAAATTCACTTTTAAAGTTTATTTACAATGGGTTATTTTATAGCTATAAAGATATTAATAAAAGGTTAAAACAACGGTATTTGTTATTACTTTATCTATGCATTTGGTTGAAGACCCTTCAAGACTTTGCAAACCGCCTTTGTATTTGTCCAGAGTTATGCCTACATTGGTAGAAAAAGCATGTTTATCCATAGACCATATCCAAGGTTTTTCTAGTCTTCAGAATTGTCATAAAAAATATGATCTGTGTATAATATTTGAGACAGTAAAATCCACAAGTGTAAATGCTAATGCTAATTGTAATCTACCATCTTCATGTCTTGTAGTGAAGCATGACGAGGGGGTCTTATGACATGGGTACTGATTACTAGATACAGTATCGTAAACTACATGGACAGTAACATACTTTGACATGATTTCGACTTGATAATTAAATGTAATTATTGTTTATATATCATTCAAATCAACCCTATGTATAAATTCACCTAATTCCTGATATCAAAGCACCGATATACATATGGGAATTTTATTAGTCCGTGGAAATGCACTGGAGGCTATAATGAGTACAACTCGCGGATGCCCAATGAATAAATGGATGTAATATAGCAGTCGGAGACCTTTCAAAAAATAAATGATGGTAGCGATAACCATATGGCAAATACGAAACAGCTCATCACGTCCTGCGAAATGTATTATTGGGTGGCAATTAGCTACAATTAAATGTATCGGGCTGGAGTAAGGCGGAAGACATCAGTATATAATAGTGGAACCATTTCTGTGGCAATGTAGATCGTCTAGATTCGCATTAATAATATTATAAACAACGAGCGGGACAATTTATTCAAATATCAACAACAGATATTTGTTCATTATATTTTGAATGAGATTGGTTAACGGGGAAAATATTTCCATTTAACTGCTCACAACATAATATAAGATTCAAATTATATTTTATAATGCACCACACTGTGAAATGTCTCGTGTATTTGTTGCAACTTCCATGCCTACGAATGTAGTTGTGAATAAACTATTATTATTATTAGGAAAGGGATGAATACCACTGATTCCTACTAAGAACAAAAGACAGCGATTGTGATAGTTTATGACACCTTAATGTTTCTGAAAGATCACAGAAGATAATTATATTTTCTGTTCTCCAATATTCTCAAAGTGCAATAGCGCCTAAAATTCTTTCTAAAAACCCGAACATTGTAAATATTAAAGGGGCATTATGGGAGATTAGATAAAGAGTTGACAGTGTTCGTTATTATAGTTAAAAACAGATAACGTAAATAGAATATGCTGAAAATTTCAGTCAAATTTCTCCACTCTGAACCGAAATATTGGCTTTTAAATTTTAGGCTAGCCTCGACCATTATTACTGAAGTCGGTACGATAAAAAGCAATGTCTCGATTATGCATTCCAGTCCACTAAATATCGCAGGCTAACGATGACATCGACAGTTGATTATTGTCTGGATAAGTTATTTACAATCTGATTAAAACACAGATCCTATTTCGTTTCGTTTTTATAGTTCAAAATTTCGTTTTACTTGTCTTCACAACACTAGGATCTGGAAGAGTTGTTATATAACAGGCGTTCTAGTTGGTGTGGGGAATTAGCCAGTGAAGCTGTGTTACGGCGAGTTCTTTGCGTGCTCTACACGGAACTGTGGCTAAACCCATAGAAACGTCAACGCTGATTGATTAATCAATGTCTGACGTCATAGGGTCAAAAATAGCTCGTATGACACCTGACGCGACCCCCAGTACAACTAGTCGGATCTTCATGTAGTGTAGGCCATCGAAAGTTTAAAAAACGTAACGGAATATAGATCTGTATTTTAATCAGATTGAGTTTATTAATGTCTAATTAATAATAGGCAGATTTAGCTCTTGCATAATGTATGTTTAAGTTGTTTTAAAATAAAAGTATTAAAGCTACACAATATTCAGTCAATTATTTTCACTCATGACTCATGAATTTATATGAAGTGCCAATTAATACCCCCACGAACGGGTTATTTGTAAAGGAGTATTTTATAAGCTTGCTACCTTTTAAATCTAATCTGTCGTCCGCATACGGCGAGTTGCAAATCTAAATGTTTAATTTATAACTGTATATGTTATATTTTGACAGAATGGAAGTCTGCAGAATGAAACGTTATCCAAGATGGCAAAAAATTCAGGCAGATCAAATATGTCACAATTTCAAATGATATTGTTATATACCATTGTATAAGGTTAGATCTAAATATTAAGGACACCTGCAGAATTCGTCATGGTCACGAGATGTAAACAGGGCTAGCCCTAACCCACAATCCTCGGCAACAATCACGCACCCTAATCGTGTTTGCATCTAGTTACCTTGACGAAATCTGCAGGTGGCCGTAATAAATAGATCTGACCCTTTGTAGATGTATTTTCAGCAATCATGCTTAACCGATTAAATCAAAACGAAGCGAAGAAAATCGAAGATCGGTCACATAGTTTTGCAAATTAGAAACGTCGTCTCCATTACATAATATTGCTCAGAAAATATTTCTGTGTTACTCTCAAAATGAACTAACATACGGCAATTTGGAGTACGTCTTGATTTTGTTAATTTTCGGTGTGCCAAACTGGAGTTGCCTCCCTTTGTTGACTAAAATCAGCAATCCTAATAAATGCTACACCCGATATATATATATATATTATTATTATTATGTCCGGTATACTAGTAAGAAAGTTGCATCAACAGGAAATTTCTGTCTCTTTTAACATCGAAATAAAAATTAACTTGGATTTGAAAATAAACATCACAACGACATGTGGCAAAGAAGGGCAAGTATTTTTTTTTTAAAGGACTCTGGGCATGGGGTGGGGTGGGAGGAGGATGTTGTTTGGCCGGTGTCCGACATACCTTACAGGTGTTTTGAGATGTCCACACCTTATGCTTTGTGTGATGTTTACCTACATATTCTACTTTCCATCTGTCAAATAGTCCCAAAAGTACGTGGTTTTTGTTTAAAATTATCGGTATTGCCCAACTGCTTCTTTATTATATTTTTAACAAAGCAGTCGGGCAATTTTGCTTTTAGCAGTTGGTCATTTTCCCCACTAGTTATTGTAGCTGCGGTGCCGTCGCTGCCTTCCTTAGCGATGCTTTCCACAATAGTTTCAAAATGAGTTTAGTAGCACACTAACTAAAAGTTCTAATTAATGTTTAGTTCTTTTCGGAACGGTCTTTGACGGACGAAGTCATCTGACCAGGCTCTGTCCACAATGACATGAAAATACAGCTAATACTGCTCTATCCCCACTTTCTATTTTTCGCCGTATTTCTTCAGCGTCCGTCCAGAGACCTTCCCGAAAGGAACTATAGAAAGTTGAACTTATCATGTTCCAAAAATCCTTTCAAACGCTAATATGAATGCAATAACAATTACATGGGTTCTATGCGTACATTTTCAAACAGAACTTTAAAATACCCATACAAGCCATTTGATGTTATTGATGTTGGTATCCTCAAGTTTGAATTATTTTTCGGCATCAATTTTATTATCTCTATAATTCGTATTAGAAAAATCTCCGCCTTATGTTATCATAAATGTAATATAAACATGATGTCGTAAATACATTATGAGCATTGGCAGCTATATAATTTATGCGTGAAACGAGATACCAACTTATCTAACAGCAGGTAATTATATCATCTTATTACAATTAAATCGATCCATTACATTTATCGTCTCTCCAGGATGCTAAACGTATACACATGCGGGGAGATGGTCATTATTCCTCATATGGAATACACGAAACGTGGCATCACGTGACTAGAGGGTTTAAAAGGATAAGCATCAGTTTGAACTCCACTTTTGAGCGTCGCTCGTGTTGCACCCCGGTCGCTTCTTGGAGTTACTAACTTTCAGGGACTATACTTATATACTAAAGGTAATTTTATGATTTTTATTTAACTTTGTATCTCAAAAAATTACTTTTGACAAAGTTTATAAACTTTTTAATGCTCCAGAACAGATGGTTAAGAAATCCTCTTTATCGTTTTCTGTTTATCGTCTTCATTAGCACAGTTTCCTTTCATTTCTCTTAACGTTTTATATCATAAATCTGAAAAAATGGACTGCTGTATGAGTTTTAGTACATTGGTTAAATTCTGTTCGTGGCAGTCTGTGTGTTATTGATGAATATGTTAGATAAATTGCAAATGCAAAGACTGTTACCATCCTAAATTCTCAGAAGTTTTGTTTAATGCAATCTATTCAAGACCGAATCGTTTACGCCATTTCAAATGATTAATGCCGATCGACGTCAACGGCAGACATATCATTGGTTCTTTCTGCTTGCCAAAATCCTAAAGCCACCAGGTCTTACGTTTACGTACAGTTACATAATTAAACTGCCTTAGACAACCAAATCTAACAAAATCTATTTCATTTGACACCATTGTAGACTAAATTTCATTATGTAACAATTTTGTGTAATAAAAAAATATTCTATTTTTCAGAACCAAAAATGTCCGGATTGGTAAGTGTTTCTATTAAACTGTATTTTGTTAAGTATTTCGATGATCATCTGCGAATGCAAGATCCACGATTTGCACCCAGAACATTGCATTTTAGCGTTGCAGGCTAGGTATCGTTTCCGACTGTATCACCATAATGTTACTTCTATACGTTGGATGTATGAAGTATCTGTCAAACAAGCAATGTACTTGCGGCAAATGTAACTAACATTTATCTTCGACTAATTATTGGTAAGCAGTCGGTATGTTTTCAATTAGCTATAAATCGTCTCACTTTCCACTTGGCAAGCTTTGTCTAATCGCTTATTGCCTTGCCATATCCGTCTACGTTTGATGGACAAATTTGGTTGCCGTATACTTCTGGTGAAGCCATATGGCTTCTTCATTAATGAGATATTTTTTTCACAGTATGTAACTCAAATATTTATAAACCTGAACATGGCAGATATGTTTATGGTACCGCAATGAATCATGTTGGTAGTGATTTATATTTTACACAAAAGCTGCTTCGCTTGATATATACCAGATATGCTTTTAAAAATTGGTTCATATGAGTTATAAGAAAGATGTTCATTTAATCCAGAAGAACCATGGACAAATTTGGTTGCAGTACTTATGGTAAAACCACATGGCTCTTTCATTAATTAGATATATGTAACTGAAATTTTAATAAACTTCAGAATGGCAGATATGTTTATAGTACCGTACTGCAACCAATCATGTTGGTAGTGATTAAAATATTTTACACAAAAGCTGCTTCCCTTGATATATGCCAGATGTGCTTAAATAAATCGGTTATATGTTCATTTCATCTCGAAGAACCATTTCATTGAAACAGATTATCTTTGATTATTAAAACTTATAGCAACTAATTTTTCAGAAAAAAGCAGCACCTGCAAAGGTTGACCCCAAAAAGCCAGAACCCAAAAAAGAAGAACCCAAAAAAGAGGAGCCCGCTGCTGAAAAATCTGAACAAAAACGAAGCCAACGTGCAACTTCAAATGTGTTTGCTATGTTCCGGCCAAATCAAGTACAAGAATTTAAAGAGGTGCGTAAAATCCAGTATGAACATGTAGCAATGGTCGTGATACTTGTCTTAGACTCATATTCGATGATTTGTAAATAATATACCCATTCTATTTTCGAAAGAGAATATAGTAATTTCACAAGGTGAAAAATAAATACAGTATCTGTAATTTCGTGATTTATTTAATATAAATTTCGACTTACTAAATAATCTAAACTACAACCACAGTACAGTTTAGGGATACGATTAATGTAAAAAAAATCGTTATGTATTAATGTGTGTCGTCTGTTTATACCTTTAGCGCCTCTAATCTCGATCTCACAGTTTGATACCATCTGATATGCCCTTCCAGATTCTTTAAGGAATTGCAAGAGTATCTCTTACACACTTATAATATTTATGTTTTTACTTCAAATTTTTATGTTTTACTTTTTTACCCGACAGGCTTTTACTATGATTGATCAGAACCGAGATGGTGTTATTGATCTTGAAGATCTCAAGGATATGTACTCAAATTTAGGTAAGTGAGAACTATAAAATTGATTGATAATAATCATTAAAGTAAATAGAAAGCTTCTCAATACTTTACATGTATATGCCACGGTTTAATAAATAACGAGTAGAACTTTTTATTGTGTTTCAGGCCGAATTCCCCCAGATTCAGAATTAAACGAAATGTTGAAAGAAGCTCCCGGAACTCTTAACTTCACAACGTTCCTTAACTTATTTGGTGAAAAAATGGGCGGAACTGACCCAGAAAATACGATCGTCGATGCCTTCGCCATGTTTGATGATGATGGCAAGGGATGGTTACCAGAAGAGTAGTAAGTATATTTGTCAATTTTAAAGGAAATCTGGTTTCTTAAACAAATGATTTTACCTAAGATATAAGGACTATGGGTGGTGCTGTATCCTGTTCCTAATATCGTAGATATTCTATCCCGATTCTCCTATATACTATGGGTATAGGAATGGGTATTGACTGGCCCTCCGCGACTTCTGACTGAAAATGTACAGTTACCTCGAACCTTAAGAGACCAATATATTGCAATCCCCTAATCTTTGTTTTCACACCGATAAAACACGCCCTTAACTCTTGTATGAAACGAACTTGGTATAATTTATCATTTAACATTTTGTATTTCTTTCTTCGTTTACAGTGTGAAAGATTTACTGGAAAATATGGGTGATAACTTCACAAAAGACGAGGTACGTTTACATGATACATTTCTTTTGAAAACCTTTTTACAGTTTGTGACAAAATCCAGTAACGAAAGGAAAACACCGGAAATTGCTAGTGGAATTCCTAAAAGGCAATATATAAAAAAACAATCAATGATGAAATAGTATCAGATGTTCCAGAAAAGCAATATACGCGCATCTAGAGACCTAAAGGATGCAATTTCTTTTAATTTTACAGAGAGGGGGGGGGAGAAATGGGGGTTAACCCACTCGACACAAACTAGGTCACTTTGAAACTAACATATGGTTCCATTTTAATTCAATAATTCGCCAGCGGTGGGAGGAAACCGGGGGACGCTGGGAAAACCCACAACGCTGGACAGGCGAACTTATTCCTTGGCACGGGGATTCGAAACTGCGCCTTTTGAATTAATGGAAGTCCTTATGCTCAAATGTTCACGCGTCAACCATTCGCCCCCCCCCCCCAATTTCTTTTACAATATTATATTTATAGGCTCCATGCGTTACTTGCATTTTCGCTAAAATATCAAATTTCCACGGCTTAATACACGCTGAATATGTACTCAAGATTGATTATTTAATTCTTATTTAAGAAAACAACATCAAAATACCAATCTCCCGGCTTAGATTCAACCGGTTTTAAACTAGGCCCATTAGGTTTCTCCGCTACATGGCGCGTCTTGTTATAGACTCGAGCGGCATAGATCGATGAAATTTCAATTTATCATAACTTCGTAAAAACTGTACAGATTTGAACCATTTTTGGATTGATATTACTATTAGAGATTAAACTTTCACACTGTTGCAGTTCGCAAGGGATTCCTATAACGTTATATATATATGACGCATCGGACCTTTAATTGGTATTCTTTTTAGTGTTTTATCCTGATGATTTTAATATGTTCCACAACTCCTTTACCAATCTTTATATCGGGTTACATATAATTATGTATGTTTGGCGTTTTTCAGATTAAACAAACGTGGAAGGAAGCACCAATAGAAAAGGGCAAATTCGATTATAAATCTTTCACTGGTTTGATCAAGGGTAAACAGTCAGAAGAGGAAATAGCTGCATAAAAGACGAAGTCCATCCATAAACTTTATATATTTAATCAACCCCGATCCCCGGCGTGTGACCCTCTTAGTCTTAATGACATGACAAACTGGGAGCAGAGAGGATTATTCGCGACATGGGTGAACTGTAGTGATATGAGAAATTAGAATATAAAAGAAATAAACCAACATTAGCGGAATCATTCGGGCCAAAGAGTGTTCAGCATTCCATTACTGATATTAGATGACGGCAGGACAGAAGTTTCCAAATTAATAAAAAAAAATAAATAAATAAAGTCTACCGGGCATCATCATCGAGCGCTCCTAAGTCACTCTGCATTTTAGACCTTCGCTTCTGTTCACGGTATGTGATAACCTAATTAAGAAAGTGTTATAAGAAACGGTATTGTTTGATCGAGGCTTGCCTCACCCTTCTGTTGGCCCGAAAGGTTACAATGATGTCCCCAAGGAAATCATGGACAATAATTGTTGCTTCAAGCAACGTAAGGATATATGATGCTGTTTTATGTACTATATATATGTAAAGTCTGACCTGTTGTTTTCTATTGTGAGATACATGTGTTATATACATTACATAAACATACACTGTACCGAGCATTGTGTGATCTCTCTAGATTAAGCGCTTAATACACTAAGCAAGTACTTGCTGCTGGGGTGCAGCTAATACCACCAGGCAGCACCTTCTGCATGTCTTTTCCCTGATGTGAAATGTTTGTATGTGTTCTAATTTATTAATAAAACCTGTGCACAGTGAATAGTGTCTTTAGTTTTATATTTGGATTATGAAAATTGGAGTTCAATATATAACTATATTAATGGATTATAATAATTGAGTTTATGATGGGAATAGCATTGGGAGGTAAGAAATAAGAACTGGGTGGATTAAATAGAGAGAAATTTAATGGGGGACTAAGAAATGGTAAAATTTTATTTCAATAATGCGCTTTGGCGTAGGGGTCTTTAGAAGTGTGTGTGTGTCTGTGGAGGAGGTAGGGCACACGAGGTTGGGCAGTTGATCCTACTCTTTGTCAAGCACTAGACGCACAAGATCGAAACAATGCTACTTGACTAAATGACAGACCCTGTTATCTAAAGTGCACGCGTTAGACCATTCGATCACGTAGCGCACAAGATCGAAACCACGCCACTTGACTAAATGGCAGACCCTGCTATCTAAAGCACACGCGTTAGACCAATCGACCACGTAACGCACGTGGGTGGATTAAAGGAAATCAGGCAAATATGTATGAACATTTCATGTATCTGATATCCTTAATGGTGATAATTTCTAGGCTGAATATGTATGTTGTTTCGTCACCCGATTAGATTTTATTACATACTTCGAGAAGGTATTTGTTGAGTAATAAAACCTTCTAGTAGTTTATCGAAGGCTGGCCGTCCTTACCGCACGGTACAAATATTATCGCCACTAAAAGCAACAAATTCCAGAACAAGCCAGAACTCATACCAAAATGGCCGCTTTATACAAATGAGTATTTAGGGGAATACTAACCCGAACCCTAACCCTAACCCTTTTAAGAGAAGTAAAAACTAAATTAGACCCAAGTTCAGTCTTTTAAAAAGGGTTAGGTTTAAGAATTTGGGGGAGAGGTTAAGTCTCCACATAAGCACTGACCTAGGATGATGAAAAATTAGTTCGTGATATTTCCTAGTTTTATTAAAAATACATACAATACATTAGATTTATATACAAAGGCGATTTCACTGTTTATTGGTGTTGGTGGCGCTGATGGTCTTCCTTGGGTGGTGCTTCTGGTATTCTGGTATTATTGTTTCTGAAGAAAAAAAGAAAATAAATTTGAGGTTCTCGGGAGAGAGAAGTAAAAACTAAATTAGACCCAAGTTCAGTCTTTTAAAAAGGGTTAGGGTTAGGGTTCGGGTTAGTTATCCCCAAAATTCTAAAATTCTCATTTATATAAAGCGGCCATTTTGGACTCCGGAAGCACCCGAACCTCGATAAACTAGGTTTTATTTGTACCGTGCGGTAAGGACGGCCAGCCCTCGATAAGCTACTAGAAGGTTTTATTACTCAACAAATACCTTCTCGAAGTATGTAATAAAATCTAATCGGGTGGTTTCGTCGGCTATATTAAGCCCAAATCTTGGACGTCTTACTTTTCTGCACTGACTGAGCTAATGTAGATGTGCATAAGCCATACAGTGTGCTATGGGGGACTGTAAAGGGTTCTTTTATGTGCACGCCAATGTGTTCACGGGACCTCTGTTTTCGTCCCTTGTACAACACAGACACTGTACTTGCGAGGCCCTCCGTCCTGCACTACTGGCAAGGAGAACCCGCGCCTAAAAATCCCAAGGGTCTTTCTCGGCCAACACCGGGAGCGAACTCGAGACTTCCTCTAGAAACCCTTAGCGTTAAATTGGGTTAAAGTTTGTCCTTGAAATCTACAGACAAGCGTGTGAACTAAACGCTGCTATTAACGCCCATTCTGCTTTACTCTTAGTCCTTTGATACAGAAGTTTTTACATTACTCCAAAACTAAGCTATTATGTCGATTTTGAGAACCATATTGGAGTTTCGTTCCATCATAGCATATTTTTTAGCTGTTCAGATATGAATTCGGCGACCCCGAAAACCTACAGTTTAACGTATTGCACCATCACATTACTAACATCGAAATGAGACCACCATTATGAATATACCGGTCATATTGGAATACCTTTTGGTCGTAATATATGTTATGTTAATATTTGAATTAGGGGACTCAGAAAACCTATATTTCAATATTACACACCTATTTAGCAGACTTTGTAATTTTCCCGCCAAAATGAGCCCCCAATTTGAATTTGGCCACTGGCGGAGTTAGCCGTCACTTTTGGGAGGGATACCCTAGCTCATTGGATTCAGGGTTCGAACACCTTCAAACCGAGGTTCGAGATAATTTGTCATGAATTTTAACCAAATAAATAACCAGAAAATGCCTCATGATGGCCATCTTGAATATTCAAATTTCACCAAGGGTGCCAGGGTGGCATCAATCAGATTCTGAATCTACACATATTGAAGATATATAATCCATCAAATGAGGTGGACTATATTTCTAGGTTTGGAGACCTGCTGCCGGATTATATTAGGATATTATAGCGAAGATAAATTGAAATGTTTGGAAAATGTGGATAGATCCTAAAAGGATAAACAAATTAGTAAGTTTCGTAAACAATGTTCCGTTAAAACGGCAAAATATAGATAGGGTTCCCAAAATATGTGGATGTAGATAAATGGAAATGCAATATGCAGGTCTGGAAAGTATTTTCTTTGATATATCATTGGTTACGAGATGGCATGATAATGTGTTAGTTGGCACACCAAGTTAACGACAATATTTCAACACCTCATTAATGAGGATTCAAAAACCAGACTGATGTGAAAAATAGGAAAGTAGAGAATATGTCAGCATGTTAAAAGTAATGTCGATTAACTGCACAACAGCTGCACATTATGTATAAGAAACTAATAGTTGCCGATATTTTAACATATCAGCTAAATCTGCCTACTGCAGGTCTTTTTGGGGCTTCACATATTATATAAAGTATTAATCAGGCATATGTTCACATAACATGCCCATAATCAAATTTCTAGATCATCGGACGACCGTGATATTGAATGTAGTAGAACAGCACAGGCCAGTATTAACAATGTAGCTGCAATTTTTAGCCGAGATAATTCTTATCTACGATTGCAATTGATACACTATTCGACTCTTTACGCAAGTAAAATTAGGTCCAGTTACAAATTTGTCAACACATAGCATCATAGTTTGCATGGAAATAAGTGATTATGTTACAAAAAGTGAAGAGTGGAACACAGAAATCTTAATTTTATCATACCGAACAGTTTTTCTGTATTTTCGAGTGATATAATATGACGTGATTCTGGTACGGCGGCCATTTTAACTGAACAAAAATTTCGCATAGCAGTTGGGTTAAATCAAATCATATAATTATGTGGTAAGGTTTCACCTTTATTTCAATGAGAATTGTTTTTTTATATGTTAAGCTATGTACAGTACAATTTGGGGTCAGTGTAATTGGAAAATAAGGGAGTTATAGGCCAGTAACTTTTTTGTAGTCAAATGACTACAAAACTTGCGCAAAGGAAGGCCTAAGGACGGTCCACTACTGTGGCTGGAGTAATACGTAAGACATCAGTAGTGGAGCCTTTTCTATTAACAATGTTGATCAGCTGTCATTTTGTTTGTACTTGTTGACGACATTTCCAGTGCTATCATCTCACAATACCCACTAGTTCTAGCACTTCCCAACGTTTTTATTGCCAACGAGATTTCATTTGATTCCTATACAGCTTCCAATGTAATTACATTTGTTATATTATGTTACAGCGTTATTAAGCACAAATCAACCCCGAAGCGCTATCACTTGGCCATCATCATTTTATTTTAATCCCTTCAAGTGCCTGTGTAGAACACCGGTGCCATTTAATAATTTAACGTTAAAGTGGATAATCGAGACTGTTTATTATCGTACCGATGCTACTTGACAATCGAATCGAGACTACCATGTGAAAACTTAAAACACCCATGCTTGGCTCAGAATCAAGTCATTTGAATAAAATTTTCAATATTAGAATATTAAAGCGAGAATTTCATATTTTCTAAGAAAGTCAAAACATAATTATTTCTATGTATTTTGCTCAATAGGTTATCAACTCACTATTATACGATCATAGGTGTCATTCTCACACTTAAAACTCATTTACACAGGAAATAACAACACACTTACCTCCCTTGTTTTCCTATTGAAAACAATGATCAGCCATTTCCTCAAGGTTGGAATTTGAAGTTGAAAATGATATTTTTGCCAATTTCTCAGCTGGCAATAGTGAATTATAGGATTAATAGGATTATTCTTTAACAAGGTAGGACTGTTTATGGATACCATCTATTTTAAGGCTTTATTTTAATAAATTTTAAAAATATAACTTAAAAATTTGAAATTTCCGCTTTAATTTTTGAATATGGCGACCATTCAGGACAGAGTTCCATTCCCGAAGTAGATAGTTCTCTGTATGCAGAATGAATTTAATATTGGCCACAGCATAGCTATCCCTTCCAAACTATAGGTGAATAAAGGGAATAGGCCTACCCGTCCAAAATTGTTGAAAATAATGATAAATTGAAAAAAAGTTGTAATCTAGCTACTGTGATCTTATGGTAATTACAGTTTACTGTCAAACAAAAATTGTTCTATTTTTTATTTTCCCTCATGTTCAAATTTGATTGTTAAAATTAAAACTCTGTGACTGAAAAAGTAGATTTAGTACTTTATAACGTAAATGACCGGATAATCTAGTCAATGGCCTAGTTTTTCTCAAATGTAGACAACCCATCCATTTTGTCTGAATGATAAAGACTGCCGATCTATTTATGAGCTCAATAACGCACAGCACAGGCTGCCGGACTAAGATCGTATTATGTATGTAGAAAATCAGAATGATACTGAGGAAACACAATATTAAAGATAACAATTTAATTACCGTACTGTTGCAAACCGGCAAACATAAATGAAATGTGGGTTTAGTTTTCCGGACCAACCGGGTTAAAGACATCCTCGGTATCCCTAGTGATCTCATTTCGTCCTACTTAAAGTAGCCAAGTCTCTAACTCAATATCATCCAAAATCTTCAACATTGAAAACACGATTTATTTATCAAATTAAATCAACATTGATGTTGTATTCTTACCGGAAAAAGATGGGCTTTTGATATCCAATATTTAAGACAAAATAAACATTTTACCATTGGTACACGAATCGTGTACCATAATGCGCTTCAGTCCCAGTTGTATCAAGAGACTTGAGGGACGAGGCTAGACACATTGCACCAAATCAAACGGCGTATGTAGACTGGAATAACCAGACGCTAGAAATTTGCACTCGCTTGAGACTGCTGGCTTATTTCGCCGAACATAATTGATTTGAAATTGGAGTAAAAACGGAAACCATTGAATGTAAATCAGTTTATATACATTCATATTACAGTATTATATGTGTTGCGACCCACTTTTGTCAATTTCTAGGTCCCAAATGTTAGCGATTTAGCTCCTTTAACTATACCCAGGCTTCATCCATGGCGTACTCACGTATTCAAATTATCTACCTTACAAACCAGCCTTAGCCTCATTGTTTACGTTCACAACAATATGACGGCTCGATTATGTGAAAGTTTGGAAGAAATTTAATATAAAAGAAGTGACATGCACATAAAAAGATATCCTAAAACATCGTTTTGGTGGGAAATATGTTTTTATGTCAGTTTAAAAAGGAAATGGCAAGTCGTCATGCTATCACGCGTATTGGTCGATAAAAATAGCACAATCATCAAGGGCAGATAATTTGAATTATTATTATTATTATTATTGTTCGATTTATATAGCGCTTCATTACACATGAGTGTTTCTAAGCGCATTCACAACAAAACAGTTCAAAAACATTTTTGAAATAAGTATGTTTTTAAGTTAGTCTTAAAGCTCTGGATGGAAGAGGACTCTCTAAGAGTTTTTGGAAGATCATTCCACATTTTAGCTGCTCTGACGGAGAAAGCATATTCACCAGAACACTTATTATATTTGGGGATCCTCAATATGCTACGATCACTTGAAGAACGAAGGTTGGATCGCCGGGGAGTATAGAAATCAAAGAGTACTTTTAAATAATTGGGTGCGGTGTCAGAATAAATTGATTTAAACACATTCACAAGAGCTTTAAATTGAACCCTCGCTCGAACTGGAAGCCAATGGAGTTTCTGTAACTTAGCAATCTGACCCACTCCTCTTGCAGTGCGACGGTCAATTCTTGCAGTGTTGTCGGTTGACGTTGACGTCGACGAACACGTCTCCCGATCAAATTAAACGTAACACACTAAAGCAAAGCTACGCTAAACAGTAAATCTTATGCAAGAACCGATAGGAAAGCAAACATGGATAGATAAACCAGCACGCGGCAGTTTTCATCAACCCCTCCTTGAAGTGTCAAATTTGACAATGAACCCCTCCCACGGGTATGGCGCTATTGCGTGTCGCATGTGCAGCTCAGTGGTTCTGTTGGGGCGATAAGTTCTTCATCTGTGAACATACTCTCAAAGCATGTCAAGTGTCTATGGCTATTTATCATATCACAACCTGCATAGGCTGTGCCGGACTGGTGGGCGGAAGGCCCACCTCTCAGGTCATTGACCAAGGCCCAGACAAGTACGCGCCGAAGTCGCGTCACGAGCGCGGCGAAGGCGCGCGAGCTTCCGAGGGGGGTCTTGGGGGGGTTCTCTCCCCAGGAAAATTTTGAAAATTGACAACCGCAAACCCATTTTCCAAGCATTTCAGACCAAAGCAGTCTTGTAGTACATTTTTTTCCTATCTTTTCTTTCTCCTGTCCTGTATCCTGTCCTCTCCTCCCTTCTTTCTTTTCTCCCCCTCTCCTTTCTTTCTCTTTTTTCTATTTTTCTATTTTTCTTTTTTCTTTATAGGCTTAGGCCCACTTTTTAATGAGCTTAGGCCCACCTGTCACGGACAGGTGGGCAGGTGGGCCCAGTCCGGCACTGTGCATATAGGTATTTGCATTTCAGTATCCCCTACTTTTTTTGAAGAGTATATTACCACTGTGTCTATCAAAAATAACGCTCAAGTTTTTAATAAATGGAAATATCCGAAGATTGAATGTTAGTTTCCCTGAAATCAAAGGACACTTTTGAAATCTTCTGTTTTGGACTTGGTGGTTGTACAAGGTTTGTGTGACAGGGTTAATATTTCGACAGAAAGCGACGGACGACTTCTATGACCAGTGGGGTGCTGAAAGAATTGGACAAGGGTGTTAAGAATGGAAACAATAATCGAACGCGACATCGGATTATAAAATAAAACACCTTCTGCTGGTTAATAATAATAAAACAATGTCCCACAGCGAAAATGTAAGTTGAAATTATGTCTATCCAGTCAAAATTAGATAATGAAATTTGAAGATGTAGCGCGGATCGTTTATCGTAGCAACTATACTTGACAACCGAGGCTTAGTCTCGATTATCCATTTTATCGTTATTTTTTTTTAACCCCTCGGATATTTAAATCCATTTAAATCTCGCTTCTCCATTTTTAAATTAAATTATTAAATGACTCTAGCGTTCTAATCTACTTAAGATTGGTGCCATCCGATGTTCTAGACACTAGAGACTAGAGAGTGCTTGCCATGTGAATAAATTAATGTCTAAATAATAATTTATATAACATTTGAAGCCAAAAGAAAGACCTGCTTCAGATCCGATTGAATCCTACCCGAGAGATTATTTGGCGTTTGTATTTTGATTTTGTTTTCTTAGTTAAATGTTAAATAATCCTTTTGGATACATAGCGTGGATTATGCCGTGGGAAATTTGATATTTTCCGAAAAATGCAGATCACATATCGTTACTTTAAATTTTAACTTACACTTGCTAAACCCTAAATAATATATAGGCTCGAATAATCCAAATTGATCAAAACACAGATCCTATTTCGTTTCGTTTTTTATAGTTCAAAAGTTTGTTTCACCTGCCTTCACTACAGTCGAAAGTATAAAATAAACGAGGCAAACTATAGATTTGTATTTCAATCAAATTTCGAATAATCACACCGTTTGAAACAGGTGTAAATGCCTTGACTAAGTTAGGCTAAGCAAGGATAAGCAATTTGATTGGCCGAGACCGGGACCACAATAATTCTGTAGTGTTTCTGTAATTGAGCTAGAGTGTTTACGGGACTTCTGTTTTTCGTCCCAGCCGAACGACTGGGCGCTGTTATTTACCAAGCCCTCCGTCTTGCAATATTGACACTACTTAGGTGAAACCACACTGCAAAATCCTGATGAACTTTATCGGCCAACACCGGATCGAACCCTGGACCTTCTGGTTAGCGAGCCAGCGCCTAACTCACCGAGCTTCAAATTATTTATCTTACACATCTATTATTATTAAAGACTTTTCATTCCTACAGAATATTCAAAATGATATACGATAGAGGTAACTTTCGAGTCTGTTTTGTATTAATTTTCTTATCTGTCTAAGATGTATATAATATTGTGTAATATTTTGAAACTCTCTATACCTAATGCTATCCTAAATATAATCTAAACATCATGTCGTAAGAGTGTGAGTACAGGGCTAATACCACAAAAGGCCCATTTTAAAGACCCCGTGTGTATAATAATCATGTACAAATAGGGTTTTCTCTTTATCAAGAATAGAGTGTGGGCAAATGTTTATTTTAATGTAACCAAGAGGTGTTATTACAATTTGAAATCTAACTGGACATAGACACATATACGTTTTGATAATTTTTCAATAATAAATTGTGGACTGTAATTATTTTGATGTAATCAATATGTCTTATGTTTGGTAATTACATCACCTTATTACAATTAAATCTAGTCATAACAGTCGTCTTCTCTCCGGGATACTAAACGTATGCACATGTGGGGAGATGGTCATTATTCCTCATATGGAATACGCGAACGTAGCATCACGTGATTAGAGGGTTTAAAAGGAGTAGCATGGGTTTGAACTTCATTTTCGGAGATTACTCGTGTTGTAGCCCGGTCGCTTCTAGGAGTTAAAATCTTTCAGGCAATATACCTATATACACTAAAGGTAAGTTTATTTTTCGAGCATTTTATTATTTTCATATATCTACACAAACTGTTACAGACATCTATATGTATTGGCGCGCATATTTAGACTAAATATCATTATATAACAATTTTACTAATGCAATATTATCTTTATTACTTAGACTAAATATCATTATATAACAATTTTACTAATGTAATATTATCTGTTTGTATTTTTAGAACCAGATATGTCCGGATTGGTAAGTGTTGCTATTAAACTGTATTTCTTCTGGGTTATTGTGGAATGGGGGAGCCACTGTGGCTAAGTGGGTAAAACGCTGGCTTCCTAGCCAGGAGGTCGCGTGTTCGATCCCTACATTGGCCGAGAAAGTTCATCGGGATTTTCCGACATGGTTTCCCCTTGTCAGTGGTTAAGAACGTAGGGCCTGACAAAAACAGCTGTCTAGTCGTTCGGATGGGACGAAAAACCAAGGTCCCGTGTATACATTGGTGTGCACGTAAAAGATCCCATGGGAGTGGGAATTCGATATAAGAGTAGGCCACAGTGCCGTTGCCCGGGCAAAATTTCCCCAATAGCACAATGTATGGCGTATGCCCATATTCATTAGCCCAGTGGGAGCAGAAAAGTAGGACGTTAAACCCCATTTCTTTTAATTTTTTATTGTGAATGTTCAAGCCCTAAAAGGAATGAATATCAGTCCAAAAATGTTTCAATTATTTTCGGGTTTGGCATCCTGTGCATACGATGTAAACAGAATTTGGTCAAAACGGATATAAACAAAAACGGCCAAAACAATTGGACAATACGTGGGTAAATATATATATTGGTCGTTTTGATTTTTTTGTGGCCGTTTTGACCAAATGTTATAGGTTGTTTTGAATTAAGACCCTTTCGTTTACAATAACCCCAGTATATAGCTAATGTCTTCTTTAAGCCGATTGAATCCAAACCAGGAGATTATTTACCGTTGTTATTTTGATTCAGCTTACTTTATTAAATATTAAATAATGAATCTGAGAATATCATGTAAGACGATCCTTAACCCGAAAGAACCATGTCATTGAAACAAATTAGCTTTAATTATTGAAACAAATTAGCTTAAATTATTGAATCAAATTAGCTTTAATTATTGAAACAAATTAGCTTAAATTATTTATACTTATTTCCAGAAAAAAGGAGCCCCCGCAAAAGATGATCCCAAAAAGACAGAAGAGGAGAACCCTACTGAACAAAAACGAAGCCAACGTGCAGCTTCAAATGTGTTTGCTATGTTCCGCCCAAATCAAGTGCAGGAATTTAAAGAGGTGAGTAAACCCCAGTAAACTTATGATACTTGTTTAAGATGAAAAATGACTAAAAACAAGTGCAGGGAAAATAATAATGTACAGCAGCGTTATCCATCACTACAACTCGTTTCTTAATACTTAAAACTAATGTAACTTGATCCCACAGTTGGATACCATCTGATATGGACATGCCCTATCTTATTTCTTTTATGGAACTGTGAGAATCGAAAGAGTTAGAATATCTAATTGGTTTCATATTTTAATTGTACCATTACTTTATCTACACCACAGGCTTTTACTATGATTGATCAGAACCGAGATGGTGTTATTGATCTTGAAGACCTCAAGGATATGTACTCAAATTTAGGTAAGTGAGAACTGTAAATAAAATTGATTGATAATAATCATTAAAGTAAACAGAAAGCTTCTCAATACTTTACATGTATATGTCACGGTTTAATAAATAAAAAGTAGAACTTTTAATTGTGTTTCAGGCCGAATTCCCCCAGATTCAGAATTAAACGAAATGTTGAAAGAAGCTCCCGGAACTCTCAACTTCACAACGTTCCTCAACTTGTTTGGTGAAAAGATGGGCGGAACAGACCCAGAAAATACGATCGTTGATGCTTTCGCCATGTTTGATGATGATGGCAAGGGATGGTTACCAGAAGACTAGTAAGTATATTTGATAATTTGAAACAATTCCGGCATATCTGAAGTGATATCGCAAACAACAATGGTGGAGGAAGCACTCAATTTGTCGCTGTGCAGACGAAGTATCGTGAAAATGAAATGAAATGAGGTTTAACGTCCTACTGTTCTGCTCCTACACTGGGCTAATGAAGACGGGCATACGCCATACCTTGTGCTTGGAGGGAAATTTTGCCCGGGCAGCGGCGCTACGGCCTACTCTTATATCGAATTCCAACTGCCAAGGGATCTTTTACGTGCACACCAATGTGTACACGGGACCTCGGTTTTTCGTCCCACCCGAACGACTAGACAGCTGTCCTTGCCAGGCCCTCCGTCCTGCATCACTGACAAGGGGAAACCACACCGGAAAATCTGGATGAACTTTCTCGGCGAAACGAAGTGTCGTACCTTCATAACGTCACTAATTGAGGGGGGTTGGATGGCTGAATGGTTAGCGTGCGCGCGCTGTATCATAAAGTCTGTCATTGAGTCAACTGGCGTGGTTTCGATTCCCCGGTTGTACGTGACAAGGAGTAGGGTCGCCTGTCCAACCTCGTGGGTTTTCTCCGGGTCCTCCGGTTTCCTCCCACTGCTAAAGACACCTACGCACAAGCGAACTATGTAAATAAAATTAAACCATATGTTAGTCCCGAAATGACCTAGTTTGTGTCGAGTGGACGTTAAACCCCATTTCTCTCTCTCTCTCTCTCTCTCTGTCACTAATTGAGAAATTAGCGTTTGAAATATCCAATGTTTTCATCAGCTCCATTTTAGTATTTTGCGTGTCATAACCATAACCAAACTGTGCATGCACAAAGTTCGAGGTCAGATGTACGACATATTACACCAGCAATTGAAAACTCACATTTTAACCTGTTCTGTGTAAATTATTTACAATCCCAGCTCAATCAAATGACGCGTCTTCATTAGCTCAGTCGGAGCAGAGAAGTAGGACGTTAAACCCCATTTCATTTCAATCAAATGGATGTGTTTCAGAGAGTTTGGCGCTGAAAAATTATCAAGTCAGCCGCGGGTTCGATTCTGATGTTGCCCGAAAACGTTCCTTGAGATTTTTCAGTCTGATTACCCCATGTTGCAGGGCAGGGTGCTTGACGAGGAAAATATTCTAGTCAATGGCGTTGATGAATAGGCGGAAACTTGCCCCATAGCACATTCCATGGTGTATGTAAGCTAGATTTTATTAGCCCGGTTGTTGAACAAATGTTGGATATTAAAGGCCATTTCAGTTTACTATTGCATAAAATGCCATTTCACCTACTTTATCTTAATTATTTTTTACAGTGTGAAAGATTTACTGGAAAATATGGGTGATAACTTCACAAAAGATGAGGTACGATTAGACAATACATTAAATTTTGAAACCTTTTTACAATTTTTGTCAAAAATCCAAAAACGAAAGGAAAAACCGGGATGTTGTTTATAGTGAAATTCCTAAATGGAAATATGTCAAAAATATGGAAGTGTTCTGCAAAGGATATATATACGCGAAATTAGAGACCCAAAAGGTGCGGTTTCTTTTCAATATGTATTTAGTTTGCAGTTAATTAGTATTCTATCTAGTGTTTTATCCGGTTGATTATAATATTATGTTGAATTATCCAACTCCTTGACCAAGGCTATATATAATTATGTAAATTTTGTGTTTTCCAGATTAAACAAACGTGGAAGGAAGCACCAATAGAAAAGGGCAAATTCGATTATAAATCTTTCACTGGTTTGATCAAGGGTAAACAGTCAGAAGAGGAAATAGCTGCATAAAAGACAAAGTCCATCCATAAACTTTACACACATTAATTAACCACCCCCGACGCTGGCGTGTAACTTTTGAGTAAAGCATACTGTCAGGGAAGAATTCACAAGGATTATGATATATAAAGTCTGATCTGGTGTTGTCTATTGTGAGAGCATTGTGTGATCTCTCTAGATTTTAAAAGCGCTAAAATGCAGTAAGCAAGTACCATCAGACAGCACCCCTGATGTGAATTGTTTATATGTGTCCTAATTTATTAAATAAACCTGTGCACAGTGAATAGTGTCTTTAGTTTTATATTTGGTATGGATCGTGCGGTTGTGAAAACAATTGTATATCTATATAAATGCTATGGGAAAAACTTTAGGGGTAAGAAATGGGTTGATTAAAGAAAAATGTGCTGGTGTTTGGGGAAATTACCAAAATATCAGTATATTTGTCTAGCTGCTCGTGGTGCTTTGATAAATCAAGTTGGAGTCTTTGATATAGTACGATATATACTAACCCATTGAGTTTATCAAACAGCAAATAGGCCTTTTAGGTTAGAGATATAACTTAAGATATGTGTTAAGGATCAAAAGATTTTTGATGAGTTCGATTTTGATGCGCATTAGACCGCAACTTATTAGGTTATGTGAAATATGCGCAAAATTTGTTGGCCCTCTAGATTTAGATGAAACTTAAAATATATGTTAAGAATCAATGGATCTCGGACGAATTTCATCTTGGTACTCATCGAACCTTCCGTTCTGGAGTTATGCCCCTTTTTCCGAAACCCCTGTGAACGCGATAGAGGTCATAGGTTTTAAAGATTTATTTCAAATTTGCTGTGATGCATTGGGTTCATGAGAAGACGAACCGTATCGATATCTAGTGTTCATCAACACCCCCTGGGATTCCCCACTTTGCTGAAAACCTTTTGAACGCGATTGAAGCTACAGTTTTTAACATATTGTTAACAACTTTGGCGTGAAGCATTGGAGCCATGCGAGGACGGACAATATAAAATAGTCAGCGTTTCGTGACCGTCCCTTTCGGATTACACCCCCGTCCTCATTTTTCCGAAAACCCTGTGAACGCGATCGAGGCTACAGTTTTTAACAGATTTTTGTTTCAAATTGGATGTGAAGCTTTGGGATGGGCCATATCACGTTCTCCGTCCATCTATTGAAAAATGTGGGCTTTTCTTGACAACCGCTTGTTATTGAAGAAATTCAGTACGTCATTTACACTTCCTATATGAGCTTATATTTATATTCTCACAGAAACAAAATGAATGTCGGCTCCGAGACATTGCTTCTGCAAATATATGTAAGCAATACTTTATGCTAAATTGTTTTGTTCCTTGGATTCCATTTGATTGTAACCTTGTAAAGGTGTGCAAAATGTTCTCTGGTCACCCGTCTAACATCCGTTAACTAGTAATTATTCCCCCCCCCCACCTCCTTTTAAAGGCTCAATACCACTCTTGTTGTAACTGAATAATATGTCCCAATCTTTATTCTGGTCAACAAATTGTACTATTTTACAATATTCCAATTAATTGATGATACAAATTTCTTCTTAACACACCTAATTTTAAAAAATTGGACAAATTCAACTAAATGATTTGAAAAGCCAAACGTAAAGCTTTTCAAATGTGACTTGGATTTAAAAATATTTTCGAACCCTCTGGACAAGTAAAATAGGATTTAATGGATAATTTACACAACAGGTAGGATACTTAAACATCTGATACTTAGAATAAGGCTATTATTTATTCACTGGAGCTGTCAAGCCAGCAAGAGTGTTATTGTCCCTTTAAGATATAAACTTCTGCTGAATTATTAAAATGATACTTGTTGTGACATTAATTCGAACAAGTATACATATTTTTAAATATTTTTGAAATGTGGCATTTCACGCCTACGATCAATTTTAATTTGAAAAATGACTCCTCAAATATACCAGAACTTACTATCCTTGTAGAAAGTTTACACCCTATTAGGCCAAATGAAATGACTACAGATTGGCGAGCAAATGTTCTTTTTTTTATCTTTCTGTATTACTGGATATGAACTCAGTTGACTTATTTTCTTGAGGATATGATAGTTTATGATTCACAAAAAGTCACAATTATTGATTTTTATATGAAATTACATATGGTACTGCTTCTTGTTGGAGTCTGGTGTGGTTGGGGTGGGATTTCGGTATAAACCATGCAAACAAAAGAAATGAAATGAAATTTGTTTGAAAGTCCTACTGTTCTGCTCCGACTGGGCTAATGAAGACGGGCATACACCATACAGTGGGCTATAAGGGAAATTTTGCCTAGAAAGCAGCGCTACGGCCCAATTCTATTTCGAATTCCAACTGCCAAAATAATCTTTTACGTGCACGGGACCTCGATTTTTCGTCACATCCAAACGACTAGACAGATATTTTTGTCAGGCACCACTGCAAAGGGGAAATCACGCCGGAAAATCGCGAGGAACTTTCCCGGTCATCACCGGGAGCGAACCCGCGACCACCATGCTAGCGAGCCAACGTCTTACTCACTTAGCCACCGTGGCTCCTGCAAACAACAGCCTACTGGTGCAACGCAAACAACAGCCTACTGGTGCAACGAAATACTGTTCACCTTATTCTTATGCGAAGGTCCTTATAGATAAGATCGACATCGCGGCGCTGTTGTGATCAGTTGACTTTTAATATTCTTCAACCAATCAGCCAAGTCTCGTGACATGCCAAGTGATTTAGAGCCCCACACCTTCTTGCTAAAAAAAAGAAATCCATTTATGCCCCTTGAGTAGATTAAAAAATGCCCTGATCAAATAGGAAACACTTATCTTTGTATTTTTATAGAATTTGTATAAGTTGTACAAGTTGGTACTTGTCAATATTGCCTTTGCATTCAATGGTTTCAATCCCATGAAATAGTTTTGTGATTAAAATACAGATCTATTTAGTTTCTTTTTTTTTTATTCTCGATGGCCTCCACTTCACGAAGATCTGACCGGTTGTAGTGAAAGGTCTCGTGAGGGGTTATACGAGCGGCTTTTGACCCATGACGTTAGACAATTGCTTAACCAATCAGCGTTAATGTTTCTAGTGGGATACCCACAATTCCATGCACCGCAGGCCAAGAACTCCTCGTAACAGACGTTTCATTGGCTAATACCTCACATCAACCAGAACGCGGGTTATATAACAACTCTTCTAGATCCGAGAGTTGTAAAGACACGTAAAACGAAATTTCGTATTATAAAATACGAAACGAAATAGGATCTGTAGTTTAATCAGATTGGTTCTAGATCATTATCAAATATTCGGATCGAGTTCAGATTGCCCAAGTATATGTACAGACAGTCGATATAATTTACTGTTGTATAATAATTTTCCGTGACCAGCTTGTCCGTAGTGATGAGTCAGTGCATAAAACTATATAATTCTTCTTGATGTTTTCTAGCTCAAATCATAGCCCAAACGACCACTTCAATTGGAAACTTAGGACCCCTCTATAAATACACTAACATAAAACGTAAGACCATTTTCTCTGTGCACAGGTTTTATTAATAAATTAGGACACATAAAAACAATCCACATCAGGGAAAAGCCATGCAGAAGATGCTACCTGTTGGTATTGGCTGCACCCCAGCAGCAAGTACTTGCTTACTGTATTAAGCGCTTAATCTAGAGAGATCACACAATGCTCGGTACAGTGTATGTTTATGTAATGTATATAACACATGTATCTCACAATAGAAAACAACAGGTCAGACTTTACATATATATAGTACATAAAACAGCATCATATATCCTTAATGGGGGTAGTTGACTCGGTCGGCCGTTTATATTAAAATCTTCCCCCAGATAATATATTATCATAAATATGAAATGTATACACAGATTACAGTGATGAGAAAGAAGATCGATTTCCATGGAAACCGACGAGGAAGGGGACATAACTACCGTAGGGAAGTTGGGTTTTCTTTTTTTTCTTCTTGGAACGATTGTCAGAACCTTCCGGGCCAACAGAAGGGTGAGGCAAGCCTCGATCAAACAATACCGTATCTTATAACACTTTCTTAATTAGGTTATCACATACCGTGAACAGAAGCGAAGGTCTAAAATGCAGAGTGACTTAGGAGCGCTCGATGATGGAGCCCGGGAGACTTTATTTATTTATTTATTTAATTTGGAAACTTCTGTCCTGCCGTCATCTAATATCAGTAATGGAATGCTGAACACTCTTTGGCCCGAAAGATTCCACTAACATAATTTTGGTTTCTTTTTTTATATTCTAATTTCTCATATCACTACAGTTCACCCATGTCGCGAATGATCCTCTCTGCTTCCAGTTTGTCATGTCATTAAGACATTTATATAAGAGTTCTACCCTGAGAGCATGCTTTGCTCGAGGGTCACACGCGAGGGGTGGGGTGATCAAATATATAAAGTTTATGGATGGACTTCGTCTTTTATGCAGCTATTTCATCTTCTGACTGTTTACCCTTGATCAAACCAGTAAAGGCTTTATAATCAAATCTGCCCTTTTCTATCTGTGCTTCCTTCCACGTTTGTTTAATCTGAAAAACACCGAATTGATACAATAAGTAATGAACTATGTTCCCTGCAAATATTAGATAATATCCTCAATAAAAGTAGTTATTAAGAAAATATATATAAAATTTAATAGTCAGTGTGTGAATGTTATTCCTGTGACAATAGTATGTGAGCAATATATGTACACCTAATGCCTAATTTACGAAGCAATGTATTTAGTTCAGAACCTAAGATTTTATTCTATGCTTTGTATACGCGTTCAGTAGTATTCTGGACAGTGGTAATGATCAAAACATATTTTAAAGTTTTCGTATCATGATAAATTTAACAGGGTTCACATATGAATATTATCAAGCTTTGTTTCAATAACGATATCATTTTCGACATAACTATAGAAAGGATAATTATTTTATAAACGTACTTCGTCTTTTGTGAAGTTATCACCCATATTTTCGAGTAAATCTTTCAAGCTGTAAGGAAGAAAAAAGGTAGAATAAATAAACATGCATAATAATAATAATAATACCGACTCAGTAAAAAAAAGGTGCAATTATTGCGACATTTTCAGTTGCTGTCGCGGCTCATTTTATTGTAATTTTTTTGCATCTTGTTCAATTTAACTTTGCATTGATCCATTTATGCAGGTGGCGTGTCGATAGCGAGCTGAGTGTCAGTAAGCATTTGTAAAAACGTGCTTTCCAGAGGAAATGTATGGTCATGCAGAGGGCTATTATATCAGTATCAAATATTATTTTAGAACATATACCCATGACATATAAAATAAAAGATAGGTCGCCAGGCAACGAAACATACGCCCACAACAGCTATATCGTCCGGGCAGTCAACAAGAGTTGTCGCATATTTTACTTTTTTCGGTAATGAAACATTTATAATACATTCAAATCTGATTAAGAGTAACAACTCATTAAGTAATTATCAGAAAACCATTAGAATTTGTTTGGTTTTTATAAAGTTCTGCCCCATGCTAACGATTAGTATACGAAACTTTTAACATCATGGATGTAGCTGTTCAAGTCACAATATACTTGTTCGTCTCAAGACCTTAAACTCTGTGTATCAATCTGAAGTCAATCGGATATTAACTTTGACCTCTAGAGCGTCCACAAGATTTTTTGAAGTGATCAAGGGCCATAACTCTGGCTGGCAGTAATTATCGAACTGACCTTAAACACTGTGTATAAATTTAAAGTCAATCGGATATTAACTTTAGCCTATAGAGCGTCCACAAACAATTGTGGACGCCGGACGGACGGATGGACGGACGGGGCGACAACAATATACGACCACATTTCAATGTGGGCGTATAAAAAGAAGGTGTATTTCCTTAAAATAATTATATAATTTATGAAGTGAAATGACATGGGGTTTACCGTCCAACTTTGAGTTAGCGACATTTTGTCCGGGCAGCTGTATTTCCGCCTACTCTTTATGGAATTTCAACTGTCAACATATTTTACATGCACGCCTTATGACTGGAACACAGTGTCCTAGCCATGCCACCCCCTACCCCGTCCTGACAGAATCCGGATAAGTGTCTCGGTCAGCACCGTGATCGAACCATGATCTATTGTAAAGCTACTCACTACTCCTCTGGTAACCAACCCTTTCCTTCATCGTCAAACATAGCGAAGGCATCGATGATTGTGTTTTCTGGGTCGGTACCGCTCAATTTTTCACCAAACAAGTTAAGGAACGTTGTGAAGTTGAGGGCACCAGGAGCTTCTTTCAACATTTCGTTTAATTCTGAATCTGGGGGAATTCGGCCTGAAAGAGAAAGATATCTTGAAGTTAAAGCACGTGTTGAATTTGAAGGCCCCAAGGGCTTCTTTCAACAGTTCATTTAATTCTGCATCTGGCGGGTGGGATGGGAATAATATTTCGAGCAGTAAACTTTCCTTTGGGCACCAAGGCCCGAACTGTAGAATTTAATTAGAAAAGACAACTCGTTACATGTATCTTACAGACCGAGTTTGGAACCATGAAAACTAGACCTGGCCAGATCCGGGCCACGGTTGGACACTGACACATTGTAGGTCTTTTAAAACTGTGTTGCCTCTAGGAGAATTCGAACCCCAAAGCTTATTCTTGTCTGAAAGTATATATCAGTCATCTTCAACGAATCCAATTGCCAAATAAGCCCCCAAGTACATAGGTGTACAGTTGATAGGTGTGCTGTTGATACCTTGGCATCAACATGACTCAAAAGTTTCTCTCTAACGTCGGCGCGCGTCTCTCGCGAGTTTACTATTCGATGGGTGGCTATTTTACACTGTAGATTGTCAAGAATGCTTTTGGTAATATTTTCCTATCGATGATAATATGTATTTGAGACCGCGACAGTCGAGTAAATATATCATTAATGTCTGTATACTACACTATCATACAGGCCGTTCTCGAAATCTAGTATTTGACAGCATTGTTATATGGTGAACAGTTTTAAAACGTACTTGAACCTGCAAGATCTTATGTTCATCTTTAAAGTTAATTTGGAAACTGAACATTCCTTACCTAAATTTGAGTACATATCCTTCAGATCTTCAAGATCGATAATACCATCTCGGTTCTGATCAATCATGGTGAAAGCCTGGTCGGGTAATAAAACAACAAGCATGGTCAAAACATGTCAAATAAAATATAACCTCTAAATACAATGGGTTATGCGATGGGTATATAAATTGAAAACTACTAAATGATATCTGGATGGTATTTGACATTTACATAATCTTTTTCCAATTAGTATGAATCTTTGAACAGTTAGTACCATATAATATCGACATTGCTACTACACACTGAAAGCCAATCTATGCCATAAAGGTGATACAATTATCCGAATTGTTTTCTTGATAAAAGGCGGGACATTTATACACAATATCTAAATATACATATACTCATCTATTTAACAAAAAGGATTACACTTGAAATCTTGAATGGGGTCTTGTTAGTGTATATAAACTTGTTATTTCAATAAATGGTTTATACATTATTAATAAAATGATCATTAGTATTTGTGCTCCAAAATCCAGCCATTTCAAATCGCCGAAAGTTTAGATATGAAATGGCTGTTTAAAGTATACAAGATTATGAGTGTTTAATTCATAATAGTGAAGTCAACATATTTAAGGCAATAGTGGGTTTGTTAGAGGTGAACAAAACAGGGGTTATTTATGAATAAATAAGAAAACCCGTAGGGTTGATTAAGGAATTCGAGGTGTTAATTGAGCAACTTTAGTGCAGTCTGTGCAATGGAGGCCCCTGCTTTTATTTGAGAATGAATTATTCGCAGAAAGGCGTTAGTGAATCGAGATATACTGCGCAGCCCTATTACAGCATTTAGTAATTAAGTAGAAATTAAGCACATTCAAAGCTAGCAATATGTCTAAAAGCAATAGGTTTGTGATGAAATGATTTAGTTTTACCATTTTTTGATATGTGGACTCATGGTTCATGTAGGCTCTCCTTACACGATCTGATAGAGGAAAATATGATACCAACTCATAATAACCATTGATATGAGAAGAGGGGTCTGCGCATGAATGCCGTCACGAAGGATGGCGGATTATTATTCATGAGCATATTATAAAAGTATTAAACGTTATCAAAGAAAGATTGTTATTTAAACAGGGAATATAATAATTATATTATAGTTATTATTTTCTGTATTAGAGAAAAAAACAAGATATTAGCCACTTGAAACGTTGTTGGTTGTAGTAAAGGAAAAGAAGATAAAATGTTGTTTAAGTGATAGATTTTGTTGAACGTAATAAGTGATTTTCATGCAGTCGGACCGCGTTTAGGGTTAGTCTTTTCCAAGTTTTTGTCAAACAAAGTAAAATTAAAAGACGTTAGTGTTTTTGTTTTTTTCATCATGCTGATGTAGACAAAAGCACCTCTTTGAATTCCTGTACTTGGTTGGGGCGAAACATCGCAAATACGTTGGAAGTTGCACGCTGAGCGCGTTTTGGCTCACTTTTGCCCTCACTTTTAGCTTTGTTGACTGCCTGAAATTATAAAACGGATACACGGTTGAAATTTTGATGTAACCTAGGATGTTTATATTTTGGGGGTTCCTTCCTACCTCTTTCATCTCTTGCATAGTTTTCTGGGGAATTTTCTGGAAGATGTTGGAAGCTCCTCTGGCAGCTCGGCCGCCACCGCCGCCACCTCCACTGGCGGCTTTAGGAGCTTCTTCCTTTTTGGGCTCCTCTTTGGGTTCTTTTTTAGGTTCCTCTTTAGGCGGCTCTTCTTTTTTGGCATCTTTTTTAGGCTCTTCCTTTTTTTTGGGATCGACCTTTTTGGCGAGAGCCCCCTTTTTCTGTTAATGAAGAAATCAGTTTTAATTCAGTGAGCAGTGCCAATCGTGTCTTTTGAAATGCCATCGACTAAATTCATGTCATTGCGCTATTTATTCTAAATTGAAAAGGTTTAAAAGTCATAACTGGAAACTGACTAATATATTCGTTTGTTCGTTTGTACGCCTTAGTGAATCCTGTATTTTATGTTAAAGAAAATTTACTTGACTTGAGTTTATATCAGATGGCATTTTAATGACTTGTATAACACACATTCTGAATTTCTACTTTCTATTTCAGCTATAACATCACACCTACTTTAATAATACAGCATCCGGTCCGGTAACTAAAATGTCTACTCTATAAAACTGCAATAAAGCTACATATTTAAAAAAAACTTACATGTAGGTTCAATAAACACAAATTATTTCAAATTAAAATTTATTATATGATAATTTTATCATGGGTAACAAATTTTCTGCGTATGTATACCTATTTTATACCGTTTCATATATTTTCAAAACTATTTGAAGTCCCATTTTACCCGACGCCTTGGATTATAGGTCTACCATCCCACTATTAGACGACGCTGGTTACCAAAAATTTATAGTCTTACATGAACACAGATGTAAAAAAAGTAATAAAGAAAATTAATTAATTTACCTGTGTAGATCCTAGTGAATTTAAACTTTAATTTTAAATAAATATGTTCTATATAGTGCAACCATTTCTCAAACCAACATCACTTATCAACTGATATAAATATTGTTCACATGTCTGAACACATCTAGGAGTCATAACAACGTATATATCGTCTTGTAATAAACGCATTATGGTAATAAATCCTTGGAATTGTCATTAAACATTACGTCATTTTGTAAGATTAGGATCATTTAAGCTCGATCATAAGATATTATTTTTACACGATGTATACCGAAAGCAATTTTGAATTATTGTTTAAGAACAAAGAAAACATGCCCACAATATACAATTCTTACCTCTTCTGCCATTGTTGGTTCTGAAAAATATAAAGAAAACATAAATTAAGTTTGATAAAAGTTTTAAAATGTAATACCTTCGTGTTGTCGGTTTTAAATAAATCACTTATACTTTTTTAAAGTTTCATAAAGAGTTGAAGGCGACCATAGATTCTTCTAATTTACAATATTTACATATCACAAAAAAAAATATTACAAAACAAAGCAACCCCATTGAAAATTCAAAGATGGCGGACGAACAGATCTGTTATAATGGCTTAAGGTGTAACATTCCGAGATGAGCTAGTTGTCATGGTAACTCGCTTCTTACTGCCAGGTATGCGTGAAGGAGGTTGAAATTTGATATGCTAGTGCTAAAAAATGCGAACACAGCAATCGCCGATAGGAGATATCCTCTTGATATCCACTAAACCATCCTCTAATCTAACCTATCCGTCTATTTTTAATAAAACATGCTAATGTTAAATCCAGATGTTCTTTTCTTTTCATTAGCACTACCCTTGATCTAATTATCCTAACTATAATCAGATACTAGAGATACTATATCAATTAAGAATAATTATCAAAGATTATATCCCCCAATTGCAAAACAATAAATATATTCATTAATTTACTTGGATGTAAATGTTAATATAGTTTTGTTTGCTTAATTAAATAGCCTACTTTTGAACGCTTAAAACAATTTCCAAAGTGAGGAAAAGTGGTGAAATAAATATATTTAATAGTATTATTATTTAACTCTTGAACTATAAATATTTGTAACAGGGATATCTCTATTTGTACATAGAAGTTTATATACTCTTATCGCATCCCTCAAGTATTAGATAAATGTTCTGCGAGGTATGTATGTATGTACCTCGTTACTCCCGCGACATTACCAGAAGCGCGTTCTAAAAATGGATCTTGAAATACGAGACGATCAGATAGCCGGCACTGCTGATATCAGTGGAACGGGCATACTTTATGTCTGGTTATTCGAGTAAATAAATATGGGGTATATTATGACGGTGATGTTCCAAGCACTATTTGCCTTATTAGCATCTGTGTCTGTTTCTCTTGCTCTGAATCGTAACAGATAACAAATGTTCCCATACAGGTCTTCGCAACCACTTACATAACTATTGCATTATATTACTTATAATTTGACTTTAAAAGATACACAAACTGTATATATTTCTACAATTAAAATTTAAAAGAAAATCTATTTAGTCCTGTTTTGAATACTTTTTTGAAAAAAGTGGGTAAGTATAGTTACTTAAACTTTTGCCAATGTGATTAAGGTGAAATGATGGTTTAATTAAAATGCTCTCCTTTATGCTAATTACAATAAACAACTTTCTAAGCATTGGTGTCTTTTTTGTTAGATCAAGTGTTTTTTTTCCACCTTATTATTATTGTAGTAGTTGGTGCCAAATATATTTAGCGGTAATCAACCTACTATTTATCACGAATCAGCACATTATATAGGTCTACTGAAACTGTACTGATACGGAATGTCGAAAGATGAAAGTAAAAAATAAGCTGTAAAAAGAAATTGTATAAATTGGGGATATTTTTTAAAGGTGCTGATTACTAATATATACATGAGTACTACATTAGGATTGGAAACCAAACACGACTTCTGGAAATGCCAGCTTCCATGCAATTACCAACAATACAGCCAACGAGGCATTATATTGTGTAGCGACAATAAAAATATCAAATCAACAAATAAATTGGAAAATGAAAAAGAACATATACATATAAGGGCAAAATATTGATGTGTTATTATTAATAATACAAAGAATGACTCGTATTGCTAATTTCCTCCAGCATCTTTGACATTTAGTCACCTTCAACAGTTCAGATGTGCGCAAACGACCTTCACATTTAAAATGGCGGACGTTGGTTATGGCTCATAATCTTTTATATAAGGTTCAGAAAAGTAATTTATGCATTAATCTATGGTTTATATAATCGGATTTTAAACTATACTTTGATATTTTATTACTGAGCTAAAATATTGTGTTTCTAGAAACGGGGATTGGGTCTAAAAGGGCCTGGTAAATCGAGGCTAAATAGCTATCTTATTACTGTGCCTGTATTTGGGTATAAGATATCCAAGAATTAAAGAATATGTTATATGTTTCTCTGATTTGTCTAAATGATAATTTAAAATATAACCTTTGTTACACACCAAAGGTCATGATGCACTCGGATCTTCATAAAATGTCATACGCTAAATACAACTTCATGAAGAATGCCGAGCGTTTTCTTTAAGCCAAGTATCTGGTTTTAATTGCAAAACTACTATGTGTGGATTGCATGCTAAGCATTTAGAAATCCTCACTAATTTGTATGATATCTTCATACATGTCAGTAAATTATAATCATAACATATACAGGCACATGATGTCTTAATGTTCTTACCATAGACATCAGTGCACAAAACCCCGCATTTTTTTACGGAGGAATATATTTATCGGTCGTCATTAAGTTATCAGGATGATTCCCAATTTAATGCTATAGGTGTGTATTAAAAATAAATTACAGTACAAAGCTAGGAACTTACCTTTTGTTGATGAATAGGGTCCCTAAAATCTAAAACAGTCTTTGGACTACAAGCAGACGACCGGGCTACACCGAGTGATGCTCGAAAGTGAACGTACCACTGATACTTATTCTTCTTACCTCTCTATCACGTGACGTCACGACGCGTGCTCTCCATATCAGGAATAATGGCCATCTCCAACTTCCACATGTGTGTAGTTAACATCCTGGAGAGACGATGAATCGAACTGATAGATTTATTATTATAAGTTGTATCCAAGTTTGGACTGTGGTCGCGATAAGATGACCACTGCTAATTCTTTAAGTGATGATTAAGTTAATGGGGGGTAATTGTGAGTTATAACATATTATGAAGGAATGGTATTTATGCTACTGTTGGAACCAGATGGCACTAAATATCTAGTTTACAATGAAACTAGATCTACTTAATGTATACATATGTATTACTGTTATCACATACTATATTATTTAAACACTAACAGTGTGTTAGTTAAGCATGTATAGACATGGTGGCGAAATGTTCGTAATTTGTCTTTATCTGTGTTCCTGAAAGCAATTTGACAAATTAAATTTCTTCTTTCGGTGTTCCATATATTTTATTGTATAGAAACACCATTCTTTAGTCCAACATACCTACATGAACTTTAAAGTCTCTGGGTGTTATTTCAGGGATCTGTAATCTCTTGTTAAATACATTGTGAAAGTTAAACCTTTAAAGGGAAAATCGCTGAAATATCAGTCAAAAAATATGGTACCACAATACTTTTTGATTGGCTTTTTTAAAAGTTTGATTGAATTCATGATGGAAAATGATCTACCGTTGATATTTTGATTTTATTTTTATACGCCCGAATTTCAGTGTCACCCAGTTCATCGGTTGGTCCGTCAACAATTGGCTTGTAAACGCGACAGAGGCTACAGAATTTGACGGATTCTTATTAAATTTGGCACGAACGCAATAGAGGCTATATATTTTTTATACGCCCACGTGGACGTATATTGTCGTCGCCCATGTCCGTCCAGGCACAACTTGGACACTATACAGTTCACAATTTTTATAAAGATCTCGTTTCCTTTCGATACTGGGATGTATCAGACCGCAACTTGATGGCTTATGGCCCCTGGTCACGGTTTTAAATTTTGGACACATAGAGGTCACAATTTTTATCCAATTTTGATGAAACTTAAAATGTGTGTTTACAACCCAAAGATCTCGGTTCATTTCGGACCGTAACTTCCTGAATTAAAAATAAAGAAGAAGAAACAAGCATATACATGTTTGTATGTATGAAATTGTAAAATTACTCGATTTCAGAATTTACAATTGATTTATTTATTCTTGCCTAGAACAATAATGTATTTAAGTAGCCACAAATGCCTTCGATAATCATAATTAAAAATATATTTCATACAACAATTTTTTCAGACTAATCTCGCAACGGCTAGATGTTGTAAAGTTCGCAGTCGTTGCTGCCGGAACAAGGTATAATGATGGCTTCTTATTTGATTTTCTATAGGGGATATTTCCTTATTTTGGCAATTTGAATAAAATCAAATGTCAATTACGTTTCGTGTTTCTCGGGTTTTTTGTTGGGTTTTTTTTTTTTTTTTGGTTTTTTTTTTTTTGGGGGGGGGGGGGTATGTTGCCCAACAACCAATCTGTATGGAATAGATTACAATTGTAATTACATTTTGGAAATATAAATAATTTGTTAAAGATTTGACCCTGAGTTGTCCATTTACACATTAGACACATGTAAATTTTACGACGATAAATACAACTACACCCACTGCACCGCACCGCCAGAAAATATTCTTGTTCAAGGGCAGTTCTTTGTCCTAGAATGCCACCACTATGTTCCCCCCTTGTGCCAGCTGGTGAAAAATGAAGATTTAATAAATGAAGGTATAAAGTGATCTGTATCAATCGCTCGAGGTAAACTATGTAATCAAAAGAATTCCAGTATTATTATGCTTGTCGGGCACCGTGTGATTCAGCCTAAAAAGATTAATTCCTGTTACCTTCGAAATATTATCAGTTGTAAGTAGGCCAAAATGCATCAAGGTATCGTTATTTTCAGAAATTCAGGTGCATGCGAGACGAGAGACTGGTTTTATTGGATATCATAATATTGCGGCTATAGACCAACTTTGCGATAATTTTCGACAAGTGATCATTGACAGGAACAAACAATAAAAATGAAAATCAAATACAGAGTTTATATTCATAAACAATAACATGACTCCTGTCACAAAAATGGCTTATCAACCGAAATGAAAAGGGTAATCACAAATGTTCGTCACTTTTTTTTATTCTTATCGTGATATAATTACAATACCTTCTTTGGTAACTTGACGGCAAACGGTGATCGTTTTAAAAAGACAGCAAATAGTGTAGTGATCAAGGGCAACATTTAATAAAGTAATTATTGAAGATGTAAACTCTACATTTTAATCGTGATAAATTTGGCTGCTTAAAGAGTCTACAAGATGTGATAACTCTGCAATAATTCTGAATGCAGTTTCACAAACAGTTGATATTCAATAGATTTCATTATCTCACAAATATAAACAATTAGGTGTTGGATGATAAGATCTAATTGTATTTATCAGACATCGGTTATTAATTTACAGTGTATCCAATTTTAAGCCTCCCTAGGATTAAACTAATCCAAAAACCACATGCCCTAGAACAGACCGTTGTGCTGTAAGACAACCACCTGCGGTTTGACACTTCCAGGGCTATACATGTATAACATTTCGATCCGACAATCGAGGAGTGAATTTCAAATTAGGTTTTTTGAAATTTGAAATCATCGCTGTTAACTTTGCTGTACACGTTGCCCTATCTAATTTGAATTTAAAAAATGTATGCCATCTGTTTTACATAGTCTTGAGGCATATATTAAGGATTTGGCCCAAGAAATTACCAAACGTCTACAGGCCACAGTTCGGAAAATTATTTTAAGTTACCATGGCAAAGAAGTAAAATTGTATCTGTATCAATTCATATTTGTAATATCCCCGCATAGGGGTCTCCCTGGAAAGTAAGTATTCAAAAACAAACAAACGTTTATATATTCCAAACCAACTTCCAAGATATTGTAGCTTTATTGTAATAGAAAGCGTACTATAGAAAAATGTTTAAAATCAGCAGGTGGTTAATGTTTACCGTACTAAAGTATAGGCCAACGCCCCATATCGATAGAAAATCTTGAAATCGGTTTAGTCTTTTAATCGTTAGACTACGTTAGCTATATCATTATATACTCTATTCATATTTTCAGACATTTTCTAGCTTTGCTCCTGCTCTCTGTTTCATTAAATTGTCTTTGTCAATATAGGTAATTGACATTAACATGTACTAGAACGATTACGCTACGTTTCATTGCCAGGTAATATAAACAACGTGAATTAGGTGGGCGGGGTTTAAAAAATCGCCAATTGGGTTACTCATTCATAACTTAAATATCCGACTTTGTAGAAACAGATGCGCAATGAGTAAATTTACTTTTCGGGGTTAAAATGTAGTTTTTTTCATAAGTAAGTGAACTGTGAATTAATTTCCAATTTACACATGCTTTCAATGACTGATTTTTGCTCTTGACGTTACCATAGAAACACATGGTACAAGAGACTTCTGTTTGAACCCCTCTCCCAAATATGGTTATGACCGGTTTCTGATGAACGGCATCTCCCGCTAAATATAGAATATGATTCCTGATACACGCTACACGCGCCCACTCGAAGACTGGGTTTTCCAGGAAACAAAGTAGACCAATGTTAGAAAATGTGTTAATATACTCTATACATTGTCGCGTGACAAAAGTTTGCTATGATCTGCTATTAGTTGTACATTTACTAAGTAATAAGAATACACTGACAATGGATTGCGAAAATGTTTAACAAGCTTATGTAGAATGTGAAGGTAGTAGAATTTCTGGTACCGGTAATAAATGACTAGATAGGTTGGTGTTGAGAAAGATGTAGGGGAGCGTGTGATGACATTTTTATTGTAACCAAGCTATGCGATGAATTATGCCACATGTTGGGCTAGTAACACTATATGCTATTACAAGTTGTATTTTGTATTATTATGATATGTTGTGTTTGCAACTCCCGAGAAAACAGTTGACCTAGCTATCAGTTCTATACAGTGGTTTGCTGGCCTGGGTAGGTTGGGGAGAGGTGTGTAAAATTACCCCAAAACAGTGTTGTTTACTTTTCTAATAGCTGAGAAATTGGAACACAATAACTTTGATTCTAATTGAGTGAGGGTGATGTAACTTTACATCAGTACTTTGTCCAAATTCGATGTTTAGCGAGTTCTGCTGAGGCTATAAAAATAGAAGCCATTTGATCCGTTTAAACACAATATCTATCTTATTTAGGTAGAATGTTAAAACTGGATTAATGTCATTCTCAATCTCCATAAGAGCAAAGCTTTGTCACAATATAAAACAGTCAGTCCTACCTTTCGTTTCAAGGCCTTCCACCTGCGGTGATATCGCAGACATATACACTGTCACATGGTAGGGTGGGGTTGTTGCCTTTTTAAACGCCCACACTGAAAAATGGTCGCATATTGTCAGTCGATGCCCCCGTCCGTCGGTCCGGTGACGCCCAAGAGGCTAAAGTTAATATCCGATTGATTTTGACTCTATAGATAGTGTTTAAGGTCCTGGGACGAAGCAGACTGTCGAATTTCAACGATTTCTGATCACTAATTATTTCCCCATTGACTTTAATGTTAATTCTCGTCTCTTAGACCGGCTCTAACTTTTTCCCAAATTTTCGTTGGGTAGAACGCTTTCTGTCATAGATGGAGCAACATGTAGCAAACTCTTGCCCAAAAGCATGCATGAGGTTCACCATGAAAAACTTGAGATACACAAGCTGGAAGTAGAGATAAGTAAACATGCAATTTCCGGCCCTACATTTCAACGTAACCAACCTCACTACTCTTGTATCCTTCCGCCTCAAAATCATGAATATTTACCAAAACCTGGCAGAAAATGTATTTTCAAACCCTTTTTTCGATTCTACACCAAAAGGTGAACAAAAATAGCCATGCACAAGGGGGAAAGGGAAAGGGAGAGAGAGACTAAAATAGCTTTGGCCCTTGTTTCCAAAAGTTAT